TGAAAGCTTTGCCTCTTCCACTCTTACATCTAGTTATCACACGGCTTCTTGATTAGATCCCGGCCAATTGGCTTCGTATTTATTCTTCCCAGTCTCATACATATTCCCCTTCATCGCTCGTCCTTTCACGATTAATAAAATATCGACGGTTGAGTTAATCGTAAATCAGTCGATAATTATACGTGGATCTTTTATCAATTTTCCCCGGTTATAACGAGGCGAAATGCTCTTTCGAGGAGCATTATTTAAAAACAAATACTCACTTATTTACTTTCTACTTTAATGAAGGGGGAACTGACTTTTATAAGCGTACACTAGAGGAAATTACAGAGTGATCTTTAAGTGGCTTAATAAAACAAAAACAAATTCTTTTTTTCTTTCGTGAATTCAATTTTAAATCGCCCTTCGGGGACGGCAGATGACAACGCAACGCCTCGGGCGACCGTCGGTGAAAGACCACACCTTAAGACCTTCGGGGTAGAAGAAGAGCGGATTCGATTCATTAAGTAAACCTGGTTTTGATATTAGCCTTAGTAAAAATATTAAACTTATCATACCAGAGTTGGAAAAAACAAAAAAACCGTGGATTGGAGAAAGTCGGTGATAGGTAAACTGAACACTTACACAGCCGGAACTTGGTTTTTTATTGTAGACGCCACTTTCTAAAACCCAAAGTTGATTGTAGGAAAGCTTATTATATTTGATTGAATCAGTCTCGGAAGTAAAAATAAATTGATAAAACAATAAAGATTAAACAAAGAAAACGGAGTTTTAAAATTACTAAAACTTGATAGGTAACAATTAATTAAGGTTTTCAGTTGAGATTAAAAAGTAAATGGTACGAGCGGGATTCGAACCCACGATCTTCGGCTTGATACGCCGCTGCTCTACCACTTGAGCTATCGTGACCTCGGACATCAACTTCCCATCTCAACCACACCTTTTCGAATTTTCCTTCCTTTTTGCCATGTTTCAAATGTCGTGTAATCAATTTGATTCTCGGCGACAAATGAAATGGCCACGGAGAGCTTTAGTGAAATGGTACTTCATTTTAAACTTATTCAATTCACTAGTTTCGTGGTCCGCTTGACCAATTAATATATTACAATGAAGTACCACTTCGCTAAAGCTCTCCGTGGCCATTTCATTTGTCGCCGAGAATCAAATTGATTACACGACATTTGAAAAATGGCAAAAAGAAGGGAAAATTCAAAAAGGTGTGGTTGAGATGGGAAGTTGATGTTCTAGTGGATCGAGGTCACGATAGCTCAAGTGGCCATTGACTTTTTTATCTCAACTGAAAACCTTAATTAATTGTAATATATTAATTGGTCAAGCGGACCACGAAACTTGTGAACTTGATAGGTAACATTTTCAACACCTTGTTAACTTAAAACAACTATAGAAAAATATATACAGAAGAATACACATAGAAAAATAGATCGGATAATAAAATATCACAAATTCGTAAAAAAATAAATATTTCACTATGAATTAAAGGCTAGAATGGGCAGTACATACAATATTTTGTTTGGACAACCAAAGTAAATTTATAAAAGAAAACCTTTACTTTTGCTCCTCATCCATATAATTATGCACCTCATTCACACGTAATAGGCAATCTTTACCACTTCCTCCTCATGAGGTACTGACTTTCCTCTATTATGGAAGTATTCCGTAGTCATTCCCATTGCTAAAGCTCACAAATTTTTCAACCTTCCAATTTTCCAACCATCCCTAACCATCCTACAACACATCAGCCATCATCCTATAATCTCCAAAATCTTCGAAAGACTTATTTATACCCTTCCTATATTCACCAAGAATATATTCCAATATTCACTTTATTCAATACAAGTAATGAATAATCTCAGTATGGTATGCCACATCCTCCTCATCTCCCTCTCAACCTTTCCATCCTTACTCCATAAGTTAAGCACAATTTATAATCCACTGGATATAATTATCTTAATTTCCTTCGAAACCTTCCTCAGAAGGTACTGACTTTCCTCTCTTATGCAATATTCCGAAGTCATTCCCATTTCTAAAGCTCACAAATTTTCCAACCTTATCCTCCTACAATACATCAGCCATCTTCCTATAATCTCCAAAATCTTGGAAAGACTTATTTTAAAACAGATACCCTTCCTATATTCACCAAGAATCACTCCTCATCAATTCAGCTCCCGTCTTCATTATTTTGCAATCCAGCGAGGTTTTATAGTCGTAAACACCTTCTTCAATACAATAATGCCTAATCTCGGTATGGTGTGCCACTTCATCCTCATCTCCCTCCCAACCTTTCCATCCTTCCTCCATAAGTTAAGTTCTACTTACACAAAGTGTTACTCCACTGTGCATAATTACCTTCATTTTACTTCGAAACCTTCCTCAGAAGGTACTGACTTTCTTCTCTTATGCAAGTATTCCGAAGTCATTCCAATTTCTAAAGCTCACAAATTTTCCAACCTTATCCTCCTACAACACATCAGCCATCTTCCTTATCCTCCAATATCGTAGAAAGACTTATTTTAAAACTGATTCACCAAGAATCACGCCTCACCAATTCAGATTCCGTCCTCAGTATTTTACGGTCCAGCGAGGGTTCATATTCGTTGACACCTTATTCAATAAATAATCCATAAACTTGGTATACCACTTCTTCCTCATTTCCCTCCCAACCTGTCCATCCTTCCTCCATAATTTAAGTACTACATATACACTTTAATAATCCACTGGACATAATTCATTTTACTTCAGAACCTTCCTCAGAAGGTACTCTCTGTCCTCTCTTATGCAAGTATTCCGAAGTCATTCCCATTCCTACAGCTCACAAACCTCCCCCATCAGCCATCTTCTTATTATCTATCATAATCTTCGAAAGATTTTTTTAACAGATACCCATCCTAAATTCTACAGGTTACGTCTTCATTATTTTACGATCCAGCGAGGGTTCACAGTCGTTGACACCTTTATTTATACAAGTAATCCATAACCTCGGTATATCACTCCTCCTCATCTCACTCCAAACCTTTCCGTCCTTCTGAAATCAAGTACTACTACACAAATCACCAAGTAGAAAATGGACATGACCTAATAACCTCCGCGATACTTTGAAACTTTCTCAGAAGACTGCAGTATTTTTCCACGGTGTGTACTCCCATTTTTAAGTTCCACTCATTTTCCTTTCTTACAGAAATATAATTCCTAAGCTGACGAACCTCCCAACCGTCCTCCAACTGATCCATCAGCCTTCTGCCTGTGATGTCCAAAATCCTTTTAAAACTTTAATACCCATCCTAGATTCACGTAGATCATTCCTTCTCACCAATTTGGCTTCCTCCCCCAGACACCATTTCCTCCATTCTAGAAAACAAGGTGCATTCCTGGATGTGATCAAGGCTTTAGATTGGGGATGACACCCAGGCATGCTTCCTATCAACCCTAATCCTATTTAACAGACTACTACTTTACAATTGGGTGTGCCAATGTACACTCAGATATCAAACGAATACAATCCGGTGTTCTTGGTCGCATCCTGTATACAATTTATACTGCCAACTTTCCTATACATCCTCATACTATCTAAACAACCTCCACCATCCAAGAACATCTTCAGCTTGTCAAAACCTAGTGTAAAAAGTGACAAGACTGGATGAGGAAAATCCACCCGGGGTACATTACAATGGAAAAACGGCCTTGCCCTCCACTGTACCTAGACAGCAGACTGACTGTCAACTACGAAAATTGTTAGATCCTTAATCTGTTTTAACCATCAAAACTGAACTAAACTTTACGAGACTGCGACCCTGAGAATATACGGAGTAAAACTGTGGGGTTGCCACAAGCCATCCAATATTCTGCCTATTTAATCATACCTAAGACAAATAGACAAAGGTGCCTTATTACCTATGTCACTAACTTCACTCCACAACGACCTCAGTATTCTTTTTGTGGTCGAACATTCGATCCTTCTTACAAAAGTTACATACAAAACTTGAGATCCTTCCTAACCTTTAAACGAAGATGGCGTCGAGACCTCGCCCCCCTCTAAACCCTCACATTGAGCTTATTCTTGCTAACTCTTATGAGACACACAAATGATTGATGCTCTGTGTCGCGTATGATAGATTATTCTCAAACTTTCTTGATAAATCAGCTAAACAGTTTCGTCGATTCTTCGTTTTATCTTTGGGGGCCTTCTATATAAAACCAGTTGTGATTACTCCTGGCGAGTGACATTTGTAAGGTCATAAATCCAGATCTGGAGATAAACGATGGGCTAAGGTAAATATTGGAGTGACAACCACGGTCGGAAAAGTAGAACAAGACGATCTACAAAGGTGGGTAGACTGGCTTTGTTTGATCTAGGAAAGACAAGCTCTGGTCAGATCTTATCAACAAACCTTAGCTCAAAAGTGGGCTCAGTTTAAATTAGAAACTTAATAAAAATTTATTGAAACATGAACTCATTGTTATGCTCAGATCTCTTATTCTACAAAAATACGCATTTCCTATAATCATTAAACCAAGTACACAATTAAATATGTACCAATTATATAACTATTTCCTTTGTTTGGTTTTTATAATTTTATAGGTTTATTATGATTATTAAGTCAATTGGGGTTTTATTCTGTACATAAAATAAGTAAAATGTTAGTTATACTTCTTTAATCACGACCTGCTATTACTTAAACTGTTACCTTCTTTTATAGCTCATCATAAAAAAAAGCATTCCAGTTCGGTGTTTAAAAAGCGGGCGGAGAATCTGGAGAACATTTCGGTATATTTATGTCCAAATTCATTCTTTTACGATCTACAAAGAGGCTCTATTTTAAAACCTTCAGTAGTTCCTGGAAGCTGTACCTTTTGGCTAATGGTTATCGTAAAAACGGCCCTTTCATCCCCTGTTTTTATTAAACATCAACCCTTTGTTTGTCTTGTATTTTTCACCCGTTAATTTACGACCTTTTGACTCAAATGGTATCTTTTTTTTTCAGGCCTGCCCGCCGAGCTTTACTACGTCAGGAATGGAATATTGAACGAGTACGCGCTGAACTTCGTCGTACCAGTACCGGCCTCTCTCAACGAGCTGACGTTCACCTGGAAAAGCCTCGCTGGAAAACCGGTAAGAGAAACAATTTAATAACGTCCAATCGTACAAAGAAACTCAATTTAGAGTAACAAGAATGAAATGGCCGAATCTGCGTCTAAAGTGGCGAGCAAAGGGGTTTTCACATCTCTCAAGAGCTTTCAGGGCTCTAGTCGAACCTTATCGGGCATTGATTTTCACTTTGCAATCTAAAAAGCGACGTTCGCCGGGATTTTATCTCATTAACATCGAAATTACGTCCTCAAAAAGGCACCTTTAAAATTAAGTACAAATAAATGTTAAACTTTAACATTGTCTCCAATGGATATATCTTAAATCTCGGGAAATATCGTGCGAAGGTGATGAACGCAGTCGAAAAGCCGACAGAATATTGAGCAATGAGCCGACTTTGTAAACCGGGGGTAATCAAGCTTTAAAAATTATCGATGCTCTGTTTACTCCAAAATCCGCGATCCGAAAAATATAATTCCACCTCCCTGCCCCAGCTATTTATGACCCGTTTTATATTTCAGAGGTTAAATCTTTCCCTCATCCGCATCGAGAACGTGTTATATGAAGCGTGTCGTAAATTTTATATTATTACCGCGAAAACCTATCATGTCTAGTTTATCGGTTTTATACCGTGTGTTTTCCCTTTGTTTACATTTAAGTTTTATTTATTAAGGTTAAATATTTGCATCGACTTCGAGCTGTTTGTTATTTCGAAAAATTGTACTTCATCCTTTTATTTCAGACTATATTTCAAACTGTTTTCAACAAAAAATGCGTACATAAATAATTACTTTAAAAAAATACTTGATATTCGCAAGTCTGCTATCTTGGACTTTTAGTATCGAGTCAGACATTTTGAAATTTATATCGAAATTTAATTTAGAAACTTGATTATTTAATGAAAATTGGGGGGGGGGGACAATGGTTTAGGCATTGACATGGCGCTCTTCACTGTAAGGTGAAGGTCCCGGGTTCGAATCCAGCGGCCCTGCATTCGAACCAGACATACTTACAAATGGGCTTTTTTTCAAAAACACCTGAGGTTTATATGACCTCTGGCGTTGCGAACCCTCGTAAAAAAATGATGTCTTGATTTTTCTCGTTATTATCGTATTACGTTGAATATTAAAGAAATGAACCAACTCGCTGTGGTCCTGTATATTTGTCATATATTTTTCCGTTGCTTAAAAACACAATAATGTTTACCCTATGTTCTATGAGAGCATCATTAAACAAATAACCATTAAAAAAATATCTTAGTTAAATAATTAAATTACTCTGGGTACGAAACTTGACACAGCTTTTGGAATTTTATTCGAGGTTAATTTGGAAAATATATCGTAAGTCGTTCTGACACCTAGTCTGCAACCCCCAACTAGTTGAACTTAACTAGGCCATACTCGACTGACACACGGATACCTACTTTTGGGTCAAAACCCGCGCAGGTGCCCTGGTTGTAGAGGAAGGTTGCTCAGTGAGTCACATATGATCGAAGGGTGTCTTGGCCCGTTACAGGGAGCGAGTAGGCATGACCCCTGACATAAAGGTAGTTCTCCTGTTCCACTTCTTAGGGGACGTGTAATATTACATGTGTTATTTTTAGATAATTAAAATTGTGACTATGTGATTAAGAGGGGACCGACGGTGGCATATCGAGTACCCCGGCAAGACGTGCGAGGAGGCTATATGACTTCACTGTTGGTAGCCCCCCAAGAAAAACAATTTGGTAAAAAGTAACTCTGAGATAAGACATATACATACAATTAAAGAAAAAGTGGAGAAACTACCAATTTGGCAGTACACAAATTTTGTCTATTTAATTAAGACTAGAGTCATCACTGTTCTGTCACCTGGTAGACCGCGCGACCAACGCCTCTTCAGTCGAGGAGGGTGTCGTCGGGCTGAATCTCTCGATTTGGGTATTTATGCTGTTAGGAAGGCTTTATGAAATTTTCAGACCAGGAGGTATTATATCTTGACCTTAATATTTAGGTCTGTATGAGTAGTTTCGTTAGATCATAAAAGCATCAAGGATCTTCTGAGGTGGACTGGGCAGTACGGAATATTGGAATGTTATGCTGAATTTCCATATCGCGTTTTCTTAAGGTGTTATAAAGCTGCCTTTTATTTGTGAGAAATCCGAGCATTTAACAAGAAGTGATTAAAGAGCTGTATCATAACATCTTGACTTTGGGAATGGGAATTTCACCTTGTAGACAGTTGGTGTATTGAAATAATCTAGAGAAGGAATCTTTTAGCGAAAAATGAAAGTTAGGGTAGATATTTTTGTATTAATTTTTTTTCACATCAAGACTACTACTGTGAGGTGTTATATGCTTACAGTGGAAAAATAGTTCCTGTTATTCAGCAGGACGTCCAACCCTTTGGTGGCGCAGACGAGGGGTCAAACAAAACATTCCAATACTTCTCGTGTAGAAATGTGTAGAGATTAGTGACCGTTAATCGATAATTATTCAGATATCGTGAGATGCGGTCTGGTGTGATGTAGGTTTCAGAAAAACATTGTCTTTATCGTGCCAACGTTTCGATCTTTATTGAGATTATGTTCAGGGCCTGGGATTTACAAACATTGTTTACATTTAACAAATAAATTTAGGAAGTGGAAAAGTGAATTTATACAATGCAAAATATGTATGCAATGTAAACAATGTTTGTAAATCCCAGGCCCTGAAGATGATCTCAATAAAGATCGAAACGTTGGCCCGATAAAGAAAATGTTTTTCTAAAACCTACATCACACCAGACCGCATCTCACGATATCTGAATAACATTCCAATACTTTTCCATATTATGATCAATTAAAAAATCATGGGTCGTGGTCGAATTGAAACTCAGAACCTCCGGAGTGGCAAACATTTTGTGTATTTCATGTAATTATGTTCAGTTAAGCCAACGACTGATGTAAATGTAGTCCATCGAATAAATCCTCTTTTTTTCAAGCTCGGATTGACAGTTTAAACTAATGTCAACATATTTTAAATTTCAAAATTAACGGATCTACCTCATTAATCGGAATATCGCTTTATTAAGGAATTCTTTTCGTTTTCATATCAAATCCAATTAATTCAACGGTCTGTAAATTAAAATTTTCCCCGCCAGTTAAAGAATTCCTGGGATTAATTCCAATCCTGATAATACTCCGTTAATTCGAATTCATTCGTAGCGCGGAAGAGCAGGAAATTAGACGCCTTTTTGGCCACATTTGTATTTTTCTTCGAGCCTTTTTTTTTTTATTGAAATCACTTCTTCTTTTTCAATCTAATCTTATCTACCTTTCCTGAATCTGTTTCTCTGTACAAATAAGGCCGGATAAGATAAGGACAAATCTGACAGTAGCTTTTGACAGATGTTTTATGTGAGGAGTACTGTGATATCCCTTCTCCCGGACTTTATTTTTTATCTAGTCACAAATATTACATAGTTTCAAACGGCTTGTGCATATTTACATTTAAACTCCCCTGAGATTATGCCTTAATGTAAATAAACCTTTTCTAAAAGCTTGACGTTAAAGTTGTAAATTAGAAATAAAGGTGGAGGCTCAAAATGCACTTGAAACGCATTACTATGCTATTTTTATTTGAACGATCTCGTATTGTTATCAAATTAATTAAATCACTTCCTCAAGTATTTCTTTAGAGTTAGTCCTCGTTAAGAGCACTTAGAATGTTTATATTAAGCTATTAACGATCACTTACGAACATACTCAACAGAGCAATAAATTCACCCGAAGAATTAGCACATCACGTAGGACGTGTTATAGGACAACTTGTCGAAAAGGACTACGGGCTAAATGACAGACTGTTTCATTCGCTGAAGACCGATTTCACGAGCTTATATTTACCAAAAGGAGGAGGCAGCAATTTCCGCCTCGTGCAAACACACGACAAATTTCCGGACTGCACAGATTGCTTATACAAACTTAAACCCGCCGGAGGGGGCGTCGGAGCCCGAAACTGTTTAGGCGTTGACACGTCGCTCATCACTGTAAGGTAAAGGTCCCGGGTTCGAATCCAGCGGCCCTTCATTCGAACCCGACATACTTACAAATGGGCTTTTTTTCAAAAACACCGGCACCTCGAGGGTTGATATACGTCGGAGGTATCAGCATTTTGAAAAAGTACGAACAGAACCAAAGAAACCTTAAAATTTAACAAGGAATGCCAGTCACATCATAGAAAAAGTGGTTTGCTAGTTTGATAGCGTTTGAACACGCGCTGAATTGATCACTTTACTTGGTCCATATATTACAATACACGTTCTAAAGAACTCTCCCCACTGAAGATGACGTGAATTCGAAGCGTGTATAAGTTAAGAAACACTAGCGAGAATAGACCGACTAAGTAAAGTGGTCAAATTTGATTCTTTCAATATACACTGCCCATTAAAAAAACCGACCACCAGGTTTTTTCGCGGAAAAATAGCCAATTTTGGAAATGCATATTTTCTCAGACTGTTGTCACAGACCTGCGCTAGGTCTTATTTTTTTGAAACTTTTACGCTGAACAAGATGGCTTTTTAAAATATTTTCCTAGTTTCCGTCATTCGTCAGTCATTTCAAAAATTCGGGAACTGTTACAAAGTATTAATAATATTACATATAAATATAATAAAATTCGCCCTCCCGATTTTATCATACATAAACCTGTTGTTTCAATGTTCGAAGCCAAACTGCCAAACAACACCTGTGAAATGAGAAGGAAAAGTTAAATTTCCATGATAAGATAAACAAGTGGTTATCCACAGCAGAAGCATCCCAAAAGGTCAAAGTAAGAATTGTCGCCTCGTTCACTTTTTTTGAAAAAGTCCTCGGAATAAAAGTTGTAGAGCGTAAAATTTGCGAAAACATGACATATGCATTCTTGAAAATCGGGAAAGAGGGAGAGAGAGAGAGTGAATGAGTTAGAGATAAGGTTTGTCCATAAGCACGTAAAAAACCACGTTTTTTGCCCAAAAATCGCGAATAACTCGTAAACTTTTGAGAAATCGGGCAAAGTGTAAAGTGACCAATTGAATGCCTAAAATTTTCTATCATTTGCTATAGGGCACCGCTCCAGGACGATTTCCGGGCTCCACAGCTCAATTTGTGGAGTTTTCGTAAAACGTGCAAAAATTGACATGTTCCCGAATTTGAATTCACTGATGAATGACTGAAGCTAGGACAACATTTAAGAAAGCCACCTTGTGCATCGTAAAATTTTCTAAAAAATGAGACCCTAGCGCAGCTCTGACTTAAAAGGCTGAGAAAATATGCATTTCCAAAGTTGGGCTTTTTTCTGATGGCCAGTGCAGTTCATTGATTTTTTAAAAAGCATTGAGCGCAGCGCTTCTACTTAAGGTAGCCCTTTGACTGCGACATTCTTCTGTTTAAATATAAAGTGAAATATAACCATACGCATCATTTATGTAGATAAAATTTGGCCAATGATCCTTTGAGCACTCCCATGCATCTTTGCCCTGGAACGTATTTTTTGGTATGATTCTATTTCCGCAAAGACGATCGTGCAATGGTGTTTTTTTAAAAATGATGTCATGTCTTGTCAGATTTTAATGCATCCCAGTTAGACAGATATGTATGGAGGCTAAATTCGTTCAGAACGGGATTGATTAATATGTTTAAATGTCTGCGAGTTAGAATGGCCGTTTGTTTGTTGAACTTTGCCCAATTGAAATTTGTCTTTGAAGGATCATTAAGAAGATAAAGAGAGAGAAAATCATGTCATCTGATCATTAATTCAGTTTTCTTTTTCACCGTCTTGACACGACCTGCTCACCGTCTCCTTTTGATCAGGGGTATAAAAGCAAACGGAGATGAACACGCATAATGTCAAGTGTTTGTTGGACCTTGAGCACGTGAATGTGCGCTATTTTAAATCGTTTGTGTTTATTTGAGAGTCACCGTCCCCGGCAGAAGGCGGGATTTTGTTTATCCAGATCTTAGGAAGTGAAAAAAAATCGGGTGGACGGCTGGGAAAATATTTTCATTTCCCTTCTCTGAAACAAAAATTAAACAATTTTTGTAGTTAACTGCATAGTTTTGTTTTATAGGCTTTTTTCTAATTACATTAAGCCTAATCATGTTAAATTATACAGACTTAACAAAAAGTTTTCCTCCATGTCATAAAGAATAACACGAATATTGATTTTTGTTTATGCAGCTTCCATACAGCATAGTTGTGGAGTCATCCGACCCGGAGGCGATGCGACCTGCCCAGCTTAATATTTCATCACAAGGGAATGTACCGACAACTAATCAGACTTTTGCAATTCGGCTTCCTTGTTCTGGCGTCACCGAAGCAGAGGTTGACGTCGTAATTACTGTCAACATTACTCTTAACAGGGCAACAAATAACATCACACACCTCAGCTTCAAGAGAAGGAAGATTTGCCTCAGAGGTACACCATCGCCTCATATCAAAAGTACTTTTTATTTTTATTTTATTTTAATTAATTTTATTATATTGCATGATCTTATTTAGAATTTGATACTGACCGTTGATTTTCATTTAGGTAATTCAGCCTTTGGACCTGGATTTGGAGTTAGACAAGATGCAGTGCATTCAGGGTCTGGTGATGATGCATCTGCTGCGGTTTATGTCGCGATAAGTTCCGCTTGTGCTTTAGCCACACTTCTGGCCATTGCTCTATTGGCATGCTACCTGCGTACAAATAAAAGCAGCCTGCACAACTCAAAGTAAGTGTTACAATCATATTTTAAAAAAATACTCTAATTAAGAAAGTTACTGAGATGTATTGCAAAGCAAATTTAGTTTTATTTTCTGTCTTTTTTATTCGAATTTGCTTCCTATGAAAAAGACAAAAAAACAATGGTTTGATAAATAAAACCAGCCAAGTATTGGGGTGTTAGCTTATATAAGGGGAGATAAAAAGGAGGGTGGGTGCAACCTTTAAAACAGTTCCCAACCCCTCTGATGTTTTAGCTGATATCAAAAGATAAAATTCAAGAGGTCATGGTGTAACGTAAACAAAGTTATAATTTTTAAAATTTCAATGTGAATTAAGTATATCTGTTGATGCTTAATAATTAAATTAAACAGAGTTAATGCAAGACAGAAGATTAACATTTAAACATGTTGACCAATTAATTAAGGTTTTTAGTTGAGATAAAAAAGTCAATGGCACGAACGGGATTCGAACCCACGATCTTCGGCTTGATACGCCACTGCTCTACCACTTGAGCTATCGTGACCTCGATCCACTCGGACACCAACTTCCCATCACAATCACACCTTTTTGAATTTTCCCTCCTTTTTGCCATTTTTCAAATGTCGTGTAAACGGATTGGATTCTCGACGACAAATGAAATGGCCACGGAGAGCTTTAGTGAAGTATACTTCAAAAAGGTGCGGTTGAGATGGGAAGTTGGTGCCCGAATGGATCAAGGTCACAATAGCTCAAGTGGTAGAGCAGCGGCGTATCAAGCCGAAGATCGTGGGTTCGAATCCTGCTCGTGCCATTGACTTTTTTATCTCAACTAAAAACCTTAATTAATTATAATATATTAATTGGTCAAGCGGACCACGAAATTAGTGAATTAACGTTGACCAATTATTTTTTGTCTCTGATAATTAAGAACTTTATGCCAATAAACAAACTTGCCTTTTTTATTATTGCTATTCTGATTGTAGTTTTACCCTGTAAAAAAGAAATTATCGACTAATGATTCCATTTAGTTTGATCAGGGAATCAAGATTGGGGTCAAGCAGCAGTGGTGGTCCGTTTCTGGCTCCTGCTCCTGTCATGAGCTGTGGATCTTCAAGTGGCTCTTGTGCAAGTTCAAGACACCGAACAACGGCGAATTTCGCACCGACAAACCCGGTTGATCTACATCACAGAATTGCCCAACTCACAATCCAGAGGTGTCGCGTCAGATTGAAGAGCATCGTTCTTGAAGGAACATTTGGAAAAGTCTACAGGGGATCGTACACAGAGGAAGACGGAATTGAAGAAGAAGTCCTTGTTAAAACTGTTACTGGTGAGTTGATTTGAATACAATCGAGTTTGATGGTTATTTAATATTTTTTCTTTTACAGACCAAGCATCGACTATACAAGTATCTCTCTTGCTTCAAGAAGGCATGACGATGTATGGCCTGAGCCACAAGAACATCCTTTCGATTCTCGGAGTTTCAATTGAAGACCATACAGCTCCTTTTCTCATTTACCCCCACCAGGGTTATACAAATCTTAAAAGGTTCTTACAAAAGTGCAAACTTTGCCCGGAAGGAGTGGCCCACACTTTGACAACTCAGGAAGTCGTCGATATGGCTTTACAAATAATCAGCGGGATGCAGTATCTACATAAAAAGAGGCTACTTCATAAAGATCTTGCCACGCGTAACTGTGTGTAAGTGCACATTCTTAAAATTATCAAATATATTTTGTATTACTTTACACAAAAAATTTAACGTTTTAATTTTTTTTCAGTATCGATGACAAATTGAGAGTTCAAATAGCTGATAATGCTCTTTCTCGAGATCTCTTCCCTGCTGATTATCACTGCCTTGGTGACAATGAAAACAGGCCTGTTAAGTGGCTTGCTATTGAGAGCATTACGCAGAAAACGTTTTCAACATCTTCAGACGTTGTAAGTTTTACTTCAAACAAATCACAATTTAATATGTCAGGTGTAGAATTAAATTAATTTTATTTTTTTGTAGTGGATGTTCGGTGTCGTCCTCTGGGAGTTAACAACACTTGCCCAACAGCCATATGTAGAAATTGATCCGTTCGAAATCACCGCATATTTACGAGATGGATACAGATTAGCGCAGCCCATTAATTGCCCAGATGAACTGTAAGCTTTTAAAATACTACATAATCATTTTCAATCATTTTACTACTTATCTTTTGAAATGCAGGTTCGCTGTGATGGCATATTGCTGGGCGATGTTACCAGAAGACAGACCAACTTTTCCTCAACTCCAAGTCTGTCTTCAAGAATTTTACACACAATTGACTAGATATGTTTAAAAAAAATATATATGTATAAATAAAAACCACATAGTATTTGTATAAAGTTAAATTGATATTAGTGTGTGACAATATGTTGATCTATATGTTGTGAATAGTTTATTAAAGATTAGCGTTTGTGTTGTGTATAATGTAGATATTCAGATTTTGAGACTGATTGCCTGTTTTGCCTTAACGAGAGAGAGAAAAAATTATTCACACAAGACAAATGTCCTAAAGGCAATTTCAAGCCATTACGTATTTCATTTCGCCATAAATGTATTGTATCATACTGCTTTTTATTTATTTTTACTTTCAATATTTGTACATAATTTATGTAATTTTTTTGTACAGAATACTGATGAAAATTCCTATACTAATTATACATTTATACGATCTCAGTGATGTAAATTTTTGTAAATGTGTAAAGTTATTTTTATACATGTATAACCAGTGATTCTTTTTAATGTGGTTCATTAAATTAATGTTTGATTCATATGGATTTTTTTGTTTTAACCAACATCAGATCCCATCGGAATACTCAGTTCAACTGAACAAAAGTACAAAAAGAAGAACATAGCCACCATGCCAGATAACCTGGCAGCCATCAGAGCACTAAGTTCAGACATTATTACTTTAAAGATGGTGCTGAATTGCAAAACTAAATTAGGTATGCAAAAAAGTTACTGTATGCTGGGTCCTTGGACACAGGAGTAGAGTGGAAACTTAGGTATGTATAGCTATCGGGAGTTTTTCTGTAGGAAGGAAAGAGAAGGAGCGAAGAGGTTACTATTTCCGGTGGTAGCAATGTCTTGCTGTCTGGCTGTCCTTCCAAAAAAACGATTAAAAAAGAGCTGATGGTTTAAGGCAGTTTTTAAAAGAAAGTGCAGGTGAGATGTTACTTTTTCAGTGGACAGAGACAGACTGGGAAAAGATATGATGAGGCAGGGGGTTGGGCGGATTATCTCTCAGCTGGTGTATAGAATAGTGGGATTATTACAAGTAAATTCTACACTTTCTGAAAAGAAAACCAAACAGTATTAAAGGAAGCGGGAAAAAACTTCAAATCCTAACAGGACATGCAGACTGAATGAGCATTTGAGGACGATCGGTATAATCCGGCATGGTAGTGAAGATTTTCCAAGAAAGCGGAGGAGACACCAACCGATTTACAGACTTGGTGCCTGCCCCAGGAGTGTACATTGTAACCGTAGAAGAAATTCAACCAATGAACCAGACATACGAACATGCTAATAAACCAGACATGCTATAGGCACAGACGGGATACAATAGCTCTCAAAGTAGGAACTATATGGAACCTATTGAAGAAAAAAAACACCCAGGACAGGCCTAGAGTCGACTCAACCAGGCAGCAGTACCAAACCAAAATACAGCCTGGAGGAGATGGAACAACTCTGGCAGATGAGATTATTAAGGTCCTCCTCTCAAGAAACAGGTTAGCAACCCTATTGAAGGAAGGAGTAGATGATAATCTGGGACAACTTCATAAAGGCGACCCTGAAGCTGACAATGAAAAAGAAACAGGAGAACAATCCAGCTCGTGTGACCAAAAAACTGGCCCAAATGCCAAATGAAGAGGCTAAGGTTGGAAGACAGCACCCCCCAAAAGCAGTGCCAAAAAAGCAAGACCCTCCATGAAGGAGGTATCCTACTAAGGGGGCCTTGACACAAGTCAAGATAGCTGTGGTAGAGAAAGGCTACTCAATAAAATGAAAGGTTAAGGATGCCTCCCTTGAGGATGCCATCATGCTGGCCTATGAAAAAGTATCAGCTGGAAAAACACAGACATTGTAACTGAAGATGAACAAGTGCACTCAAAGGTCAAACATGAGAGTGCTGAAGTCCTCGAGACTCTGGCGGGGGACGATAAACCCAGACCAGTTGCCTGCATAACCTACATACCGGACTCTAAAACTGGGAGACCAGTGGCACAGATAGGATTCTGGCCAAGGTTAAAATCCTCCAACCTGAAGCTAAACACCCACCTATGGACCGTCTGGGGAGAAACCCAACAAGGGAAGGATACCATGTGGACCTTTTCTGTGGACAATGACTCAGGTATTTCACAGGGACCAGCATCATGTGAGGTGAAGGCAAAGAGTGTTTAGAACTGGATGGAGGCTCTCACAGAAGTAAGCTGCTCCAATGACCTGACCCTGGCATAGAGACCCCCATTCAGGGCATAGAGGCAATGAAAAGGATGACATGTTGGACTCCTGAAGTCCTGAACCCTAATCCCCCCCCAACCTCTTAAAAACAATACCCTAGGCATAAGGCATGCAAAGAGATTCAAAGAAGGGCCATCCGTAAAAACTTACAAAGGAATTACTGGATGGCAACCGCAACTGAACTAGGACTGTGATCAGTCTCCTGACAGAGCACCGCCAAGGTGTGAACACTCGCAACACGAAACCCAGCTGTGGCTTCTACACAGAAAACACACACTTGAGCCTGAAGATCTAAATAAAGATCAAAACATTGGCACAACAAAGAATATGTTTTAATTAACCTGTATTACACAAAACCGCATCTCACGATCTCCAAATAATCATTAATTAACGGTCACTAAATACTACACACAAATATAGTCTAAGAAGAAGGAAGATGTTACATTTGTTGCATAGAAAATAAATATATCTTAAGCTGTGTCAAGAGTCGTTTTATTTAACATTATCCTTTTTCGATAGGGCATAAATCTGGATTCTCTTTGCATTGCATTAATCAGCCTCGAGCAACAGGGTGTGAATGTTATACAACTTTATTTAGCATATTTGGAGGTCAACGAATCAACGAATTAATCTTTGGTCAGCTATTAATTTTTGTATTTAAACAAATATTTATCATTTTGTGTGTGTGCTGAGGTGTCCAGTACAAAAGAATAATTTTTGTTTTTCTAATATTATTTTATATTTGCTGGCATGACATTTCCGGTTAACTAGTTTCTAATGAAAATATTTCAGATTTTTTTATCACATGACTGCTTTATTGTTTAATATTCATTCATTCCTCATTGAGTCTGTAACGTCGATTTTCAAATGGTGGAAACGTGTTTTGATGCTTTAAGACAATTTTCTTGTTTGAATAGACATTCAGACGGTTAAATAGCTTCGCCATCCTGTTGTAATTATCGTTGTATTCTGAAGATTTACGGTAAATTTTGGTAGGCCTAGCTAATGCTGAAAATCAAATACGATTAAAATATGCTATATTTTCTTTAAAATGATCATAAACAGACTTTCCGGCTTAGGTTCATAAGGCCAATTCTGACTGGCTTGTTTTGTAATTGAATTGTTAAATAAACCAGGTGGATACGGCCTGTATGGATCCCTTATTGACAAACGGTTTTTTTGTTCTGTTATCCTTGGCCGCCTTGTAAGTTCAAATCGGTCCTTCATTGGAGCTGTGAAATTATTTTAAAATAATATATTTTTTCTTTCCAAAAGGTAGATTGAGGATGAGGCCAGGAAGACAGAAACAACATTTATTTTCTTGTCGAGCTTTCGGCAGAATATATCGCCTTCATCAGGACAACTTCGAAAACTCCCTATCCCTAACATCTTTCTACCGGCTATCCGTTATCCACACATGTACCTGTTCATATAGTATAACGATTTTTTTCGAAGTCCTGATGAAGGCGATATATTCTGCCGAAAGCTCGACAAGAAAATAAATGTTGTTTCTGTCTTCCTGGCCTCATCCCCAATCTACCTTTTGGAAAGAAAAAATATATTTAAACTGAGAAGGCTGATCAATCACCAAAGAAAATATTTTTAAATAATGTTTATATATACTTAATGATAGAATGAGTTTATTCTTTTTCAGGGGTTCTCATTAGCCACTTTTAAAATATGGTTAATACTTTTGGAGTCCTACAATCAACTCTTTCTCAAAAAAAAACAAACCCCTGCTCATATTTGTTAGCAGTTAGTTAAGTTTAAAAAAGTTAGCAATTAGTTAGGACAGACAAGGATGATCAAGAACATCTTAATTTATGTTCTGTAGTTGTTTTGTTTTCTGCCTTGAATCTTTTTATGGCAACCGAATTGTGAAAAACCCAGATCCATAAGACAATGGGTTAAAACTAAGCTTTCATTCAATAAAATTGAGTTCCCAGACACAGACATGTAAAAAAGTTCATAAAAGGCCTATCAAAGGAATAAACGGCTAAAATACATATAGCAGGTCTGCTGACTGGACAGTGCATACTCCAGAGATATTTCTAAAGACTTAGACCAGTAGAAACAAACCTATGAACATATTAAGGAGAAGAAGAAACAGCGGAATATGTCTTCTGTCAACCAATTGTAAAAATCAACTTTGTTGGGAGTACCCAGGGCATTGAGACCGATAAATAGAAACAGTGGAAAATATCCTCTGCCGATGCAAAGACTTGAGATTCTTACTCCTGGGATGAGAAAACCCAAAGCCTGGAGGCCTGAATGAAATGAGAACTAATCTATGACTTGTAATTACAAGTATTTTGAAATATTTATTTTACGACAACGAGAGCTGATAACAAAGCTCTGGGTTCAGATAAAAATCCTTACGCTTAATGAAGTGCTCAAGACTCAATGGAGATTGCCCAATAGTTTAATATTGGTAAGGTCGTAAAGAGGCAGACTCCTTTTAACCGAAATCTTAACTTTAGGTTGTTTTGGTATTTCTGAAAATTTTGGCATATCCAAGCTATTTAAGTTTGTCAGCTTTATCCATCTTCACTGTTGGGTCTCTCTCTCTCCCTCCCTTCCGCCTTCCACCCTCCGGAACATCAACATTCAAATATCAAGACGTTACGGACTTACCAAAATCATGCATGTACGAAGTCGTATAGTGCTCATTTCTATTTGGGACTGTTAATGAATGGATTCCATCGGCAGGTAGTTGTTTCGGTAGAAGATGAGGATATTTCATGTAGAGCTGAAAAATGCACACACACAAACATGTCTCATTTTACATAATTTAGCAGTTTTATTTTAAATTCCATCCCTTATATTGGAAAGATCAATGTTTTGCAAAATGCAGTGATAAAAAACAATACAGGCAGCAGTATTTCAATGTAATAAATAAATAAAATAACAAAATCAACTCAAAAAATTGTAAAAACAAAGTTTTCAATCTATGAGAAACAACATTGCATATAAAAAAAATATTTAAAAAATCTATGTTGATTTTCGTGTTTATTACTAATTTTTTTGGATTATAAGAAATTATGAATTTGAATTATTTCAATTAATTATTCTTTTTATCTAAGGTCTTGATAAAGATGAAAAAGTTAGTGTCACGAGCGGGATTTGAACCCCTTGCACATCACCTTAATACGCCACTGCTCGAACCACTCGAGCTATCGTGACTTCGACTTTAATAATTAATAATAATTAACTTTAATTTTAATAATTGTAATTTGTAAATTTCATTGATATTAATTAAAAATTTTGAAAGTTGGTTCTTATAGCAAAGTATGGTTATTTGATTACAACATATGAATTAAAAAAACATATTTCATGAAATGTTAATTCATATTTTTAACAAATGGCTCAAAAATATTTATTGTATTTAAATTAAGATGCTCATATGATCTTACCGACTCTATGAATCGATTTTTGACTAAGCGTTCCTTTGGCATAAGTTGGACAATCACCGGGTGTTGAATGGTTTGTACATCTTCCTCCCTCGGGATGAACAGAGTGCCTTTAGTCAGGTCAATGTCGTTTGGCGGCTTCATTTCTGGCATTGGCTGTTTGTGACTTTTACCGAACTTTGATAAGTCCGCTGCTTTGCATGATGAATACCTCATGGCTGTATTTGTAAACAAATTGATATTTGATTTTGATTATAATGTGTCGTGTTGCGAATTTTGTATCAAGTAATTTGTTCGCAATTTAATCACAGTATTAATTAATATCAAGTTTAAAAATGGGCCTAATTGAGTAATTTAAAAATTATCAAAAATTATTTATCAAGCAAAATAATATAACATATGATTTAGACAGTTTTATTTGTAAATTTTTCTAATTAATTTTCTTATGTATGAATAATGAATCCTATGTGAACTTATCTATGACTTTTATTAATAAATATTTTTGATAAATTTGTTTTATGACAAGGTGGTCTAGGTTGAAACACAAGCATAAAAATATTTTAACATTTCTAAAAATCTTACAATTAATTAAGGTTTTTAGTTGAGATAAAAAAGTCAATGGCACGAGCGGGATTCGAACCCACGATCTTCGGCTTGATACGCCACTGCTCTACCACTTGAGCTATCGTGACCTCGATCCACTCGAACACCAACTTCCAACCTCAACCACACCTTTTGAATTTTCCCTCCTTTTTGCCATTTTTCAATGTTGTTCAATGTCAAAATTTTGCAAGCCGAAGATCGTGGGTTCGAATCCCGCTCGTGCCATTGACTTTTTTATCTCAACTGAAAACTTTAATTAATTGTAAGATATTAATTGGTCAAGTGGACCACGAAATTTTTTTTTTTGAATGGAAGTGGCTGAACTACTAAATTTAGGACTAGAATAATAGTTGGAGTGTCAACTGGACACTGCAGACTACAGAGGTGTATGTACAGACTCAGAGTGGTGAAAACAAGCCTTTCCAGATTTCAGACACCAGGATGAAGAAGAAACAAAGGAACTTGTCCTCAGAGTAAAGGCTGAAATTCCTACTCCTGGGAGAGAAAAAGTTCGAGCATGGAAGCCCTTGAAAAAGCTTTGGGATCTGGTAAAAAGCATCTTGTTGAGAAGCTCTAGGCAACAATGGAGATGCACAGTAGACCAGTACAGATCCTTTACATATCATTTTGGTTTATCCTCACTGAGCTGTTCTGTCAGACACGCTTTAACAATTCACTTTCGTCAGTAGTATTTTCAAAAACTGAAGCTGACAAAATGCAGAAACATTCTGGCAGATCAACCAAGCAATGATAGGCAGGCTAAAATAACCAGTTATGACCAAGGTTTATCACCCTGCAGATTCACCATAGTCACTGGTGGCCTGAAGAATTGACCCTTCTTTACTTTTACACCTTGGAAAGTGCACTATCTTTAATATAGTTGAACACTTTCCATGGTTCCTCTTCACTAATTTCTGTTGGAAATAGTATTGCCCTTTCAAAGGAGCTGTACTGCTTCCAGATTAAAACATTTCAGTCACATAAATACTTTTTCATGACAGAATCATCAGATTTCAGTCTCAGTTTTGGCCATTTTTTAAGGTGGTACTGGCCTGTAAAAAGGCCCATCATTTTTCTTAATTTTTGTAACCTGAGAAGGAGGTACATTTTTCTATATATATTGAGGAACTGCTTTGTTTTGCATCTGGTCAAATCATTTAGTGTGGGCATTTTATTCTCCGTCCTTTTGTTCAGTTCCACTTTTAGCATGCTTTAAGTTATGCCAATTTGCGGTTCTGGTTCAAAGGATATGAGAACTGCTCCTGTTTTTCTTGTCAGCCAGTTTCCTTCAAACCCCTCATGTCCTGTCACCCACATCAGACTAACTTATCTTGTTTTCCTAGAGTTGGAGGTATTTTAAGCATTCCCTGACCAATTTTGAATTGGAGAGAAAACTCTAGTCTTCAGTGGTTTGGCTCTCTGAGAATTTGTGTGTATGCACCTTTTAATCCCTTTTTAAGTATTTGTTTAGGGGACCGTGGTGGCCAAGTGTTTAGCAAGATGTACGCTCGGCTCTAGACCCGATAGTCATGGGTTCGATGCTCACTGTTCATCCTGGCTTTTTTTTCACGCAACCCTTCAACAAAAAAAAGAATATGCATCCCATATGAGATATATATATTGACTAATAAGCAAACATAAGGCCATTATAAAAAAAAGTATTTCTTGTACACAGAGTTCTAATGCATTGATTTCACCTTGGAAAATTAAAGGTGTAGGGCTTCGCTAGGTCAAAATTTGGGCCTTTGTATCATAGGGGGAGGCTGATATGTCCTCTGTTGTTGTAGTTCCTCAGAACAATTGTCTTGTTATTATGTTAAAAACATGAAGAATGGCTTCTTATTTTTGAAATATTGTAGTTTTTTCTTTATTTTATTTTTATTTTCAAAGAGACACTTAGAGAGAAGCTAACTATGAACAACATATTTATGTAAATTGAAGGAAATTATTGGTAATTGGTATTTGGTTAATACCACAAATAACAAAACTCAATCTAATGTTTTATTTTTTGCTTGAATTAAATACGGTTCTTTGAACATTCAAGACTTCGAAGCGCTTGCATGTATAACTTCATCATCCTAATCTTGTTTTATTATTCCAATGACTCCAGATAGGTTTTTCTAAATGACAGATAGTTCTAAAAAAAAGAAAAAAATATTATTATAAATATATAAATAAACATGTTAATTTCACTTTTCATTTGGTTATTTTGTTTTCTAGGTCAAACCTTAGTATAGGTGAAAAGACAATCTGGCAATTCCACAGATATAAGACTAAGTTGGATTGGAGTCAGAAAAAAAAACCCACTGACATCATCCCAGGATTGATCTGAAATTCCACAAACAAAATGTCAATATTGTATAATTTAAGAAATGTGTGAAAATTGAAGGTCTACTTAAGATTAGAATATGAAGACAATGAAATTTTTTGTTTAAGCTGCTTTGGTGGATGTAAAAATTTTCCAATAGTAGATTTTTGTTTAATATTAGGTTTAATATTATATACTTTTAAACTGACAGGATTTACATATTCTAAATTTACAAATGAATTTAGAAATTCTATTTTTATATGATATTATTATACATTTATTTTTAAGAATCTAAATTCGATTAGTATTCAAAATGGCTTACTCAAAAGGTGGAAGTGTGTGTTGCCGTTTCATCTTGATACACACTTTTTTATTAAAAACCTTCTTTTTCAGAAATAACTTTGCCATCCTGTTGATATTGTCATTATATTCGCTAGAGGGTGGGTGGTTTTTCTCTGCCTTATTTAAGGCTGAAAAAAGGAAGCAATCGAGTTATGTTTCTTGCAGTCGGTAAAATCATCATTTGTGTTGATGGTTACCTGCGGGTGGACATGACCAAGGAAATGTAGGGCCAGATGTTATTTCGTTTGTGTACACTCGATGTATGTATGGCTTATATGGGTCACGTAATTGGAATTTCTCTTTAGGAATGTGCATTCCTGGAGACCTCATTAGAAATGGTATATGTTCTTTGATGCCTTTAAAATTAAATAAATAAATAAAAATTGACAGAGTTTTTTTTTAAATAGCTTATTTCACAAGAATTGTTACCATAATCAATTGAGTATGACGTCTTGTAATGATCAGCATGACGAGCGCAGTTAATGGTATTAACATTGTCTTCAGGATATCGTTTTGGTACTAAGAATGGGTACTTCAAATATAACTATAATAATAAGATAAAAGAATTGGTTTATTTTTGATAATATTGTGCTTAAAGTATATTATTTTCAAGAAATTTAAAGGGGCGTCGGTGGCTGCCAATAGTTTAGGTGTTGACATGGCCCTCATCACTGTAAGGTAAAGGTCCCGGGTTGGAATGCAGCGGCCCTGCATATATGTAATAATACAATTAATTAAGATTTTTAGTTAAGATAAAAAAGTCAATGGCATAAGCAGGATTTGAACCCACGATCTTCAGCTTGATACGCCGCTGCTCTACCCCTTGAGCTATCGTGACCTCGATCCACTCGGACACCAACTTCCCATCTCAACCACACCTTTTGTTTTTTAATTTTCCCTCCTTTTTGCCATTTTTCCAATTAAAAAAAAAAGGTGCAGTTGAGATGGGAAGTTGGTGCCCAAGTGGATCGAGGTCATGATAGCTCAAGTGGTAGAGGAGCGGCGTATCAAGCCGAAGATCGTGGGTTTGAATCCCGCTTGTGCCATTGACTTTTTTATCTCAACTAAAAACCTTAATTAATTGTATGATATTAATTGGTCAAGCGGACCATGAAATTAGTGAATTTATATATAATACCCTCATTAAAAAAAATCAACTTATGTCAACAATTGTGAAATTTTCAAAAGTTAAAATAATTTGTTAAATGTTTGCATTGGCTTGTACCAGTGTATATTTTTTGTGTGTGTGTAAAAACGACAGCAGATTGTTTTGTTTAAATAATGAATTTAATATCAATTTTATTTTTCGCTAAAATCATATTAACAGCATGAGTAAACCAATGAAATTATTTGTTATTCTATCTACTTTTGGCCAAAAGAAAGTTTTTATAAGGCAACAAATTTTTTTAAGCCAACAACCACTGAAATCTTAGAATCAATCATATTTAACAAAACAAATAGACATGTCCTCTCAATCTGTAGACTGTGATTCCATAATAATTAATAATATATTTAATAATATTAATCCATATATATTTAGCAGTCATAATTGACCATATTAATTACTCATTTGATCTAAAGTCTTCGTTGAGATGAAAAAGTTAGTGTCACAAGTGGGATTCGAACCCACAACCTTCGGCTCAATATGCTGCTGCTCATGATAGCTCAAGTGGTTAGAACAGCAGCATATTGAGCCAAAGGTTGTGGGTTCGAATCCCCCTCATGGCACTAACTTTTTCACCTCAACCAAGATCTTATATAAAATGAATAATTAATGTTTAATAATAATAAAATGTAAAACATTTAATTTTTAATTATAAAAAATAAATAATTAATATTTAATAATAATTAATAATCCAAAATAATTATAAAGAAAATTCAACATGTAGTTTCGTCGTTTCAGGTAATTTCGGTCTACTTATCCTCACTGGATGTTTCAGCCGTTTACAGTTGCAGATCCAGCACTGCAGGTTGAAGCATATCTGACAGACCAATCTACTGAGGATAGTCAGACCAAGGACAATTGTAATGATGGAATACAAAAAATACGGAATTTGGCCTGTCAGGTACTTTCCAGTTTTAAGCCATCACCCTGCGGTTCCTACGAAGAAATTTTGGAAAATTGAACATGTTTTTAACATTCAAGGAAAACATATTTTATAAATCTGTACGTAGTTGAGTAGTTGATTGTTTAAAGAGAATGGGGGGGAAAGGGCCAGGGCGACAGTGGGAATCGAACCCACGACCGCAGAGTTTACAAGTTGAGAATCTATCATGCTAACCACCCTGGCTACCATGGTCCTAAGTTCATTTTTGAACTGCAATTGTTTCAATTCTACTTTAAATTGCCGTACTAATCCATAATACTATCTATGAAATGTTAATTGTAAAAATTCCTAATTTATTCCAATTGTATCAATCAATTAGTTGAATATTTTTTTAGTCGATCGTGAGATTTATTCCCATTATCTGTGGGGTGATAAACATGTAATTTGGTCGTTACCAATCCCGTAAATATAACACTGTAACATGCACCCTACCTTTCATGACCTTACCTTTATAAAAGAAACTCCATACAATCACACAGACACAATAACGATGGGAGAATGCAGAAATTCATCTTAGATCAACCCAGTGAGGATAGTCAAACGAAAAATGATAGATAACGATCAAATTTCAAAGTATATCGAGTTTGGTCTGTCAGATACTTAGATAGGTGAATTTGAACGCAGACCAACCACTGAAAAGGGCAAAATGTTGAAACGTCTGTCAGATGGTGAGAATAGACAGACCAGAATGATCAAAAATGATTAAATTACATGTCCTTCAGCTCTTAGATCACAAGAGGAAATTTCACAATCTTTTCTCCTGTTAAAGTTTTTTTTGTATAGTTCTTAAAATATTTAATTTTGCAAAAACTCAAATAACAGCAGTTAAGGTCTGAAAAAAATTCGCTGGTAAAACTTTATGTGTTTTCAACCATCCTGCACTGATTGTACATCAGTGCGGTGAGATCAAATGATGCAATAGCAACAAACCTAAGGAAATAAGTAAAAAAAAAAGAACAAACAAAAGTACAAATATGTATGACGAGTACAATAAGAACATACTTCTAACATGGAGAAAATACTGGGAACTTCTACCAAATAACAGCTTTAAGGAAAATCATACTTAATAAAAGCAGAGAAAAATCTTTTTATTTAAATAACTAAATTCCTTTAGATTAAACCACTGAGGAAAGTGAAGAAACAAACTGATGAGATATTATTTCATCTCTGAATGTTCTAAAGATCAATATGAGTAAAAGTTTGTGATTTGTCTTTACCAATTCTTTTGGGTTGCCTAACCTCAATGTGCAGGTATGTCAGAAGCCTTTCAGCTTTTTGCAGTTGCAGGTCCAGCATTAAACATGGCAAAAACCTGTCTGACAGACCAAACCAGCGAGGATTGGCAGACCAGAATGGTCAGAAATTACCAAATTATGGGAAATCTTACAAAATTCAATGTAATTTGGTTTTTAGTGATCTTTTGGTCTGCCTATCCTCACTGTGTTGGCATGTCAAAGTCTTTCAGCTTTTTGCAATTGCAGGTCCAGCACTGAACATGGCAAAAGGCTGACATGTATGTGACAGATCAAACCAGCGAGGATTGGCAGACCAGAATGGTCAGAAATTACCAAATTATGGGGTTTCATCACCCAGCACATCCCATGAAGAAATCTTACAAAATTCAATGTAATTTGGTTTTTAGTGATCTTTTTGGTCTGCCTATTCGCACTGCATTGGTATGCCATGAGGCTTTTTGCAGTTGCAGATCCTGCACTGAACTTGGCAAAAGGCTGACATATATCTGACTGATCAAACCAGAGAGGATTAGGAGACCAAAATGATCAGTATCGACCAAATTATGGGTTCATCACCCAGCATATCTGCGAAGAAATCTTACAAAATTCAATGTAATTTGGCCTTTACCGATCTTTTTGGTCTGACTATCCTCACTGTGTTGGCATGTCAAATGCTTTTCAGTTTTTTATAGTTGCAGATCCAACACTGAAAATGGCAAAAGCCTGTCTGACAGACCAAACCAGCGAGGATTGGCTGACAAGAATTATTTGTATTGACCAAATTACATATTCCCCACTCTGCAGACTACTCAAATCTCACAATGAGCAAAAATAATTATAGAAACGTCTGGACCTATAAACTGCTTTTCATATTTCACAAGTTTTCATATAAGTATAGCTCGTTAATATGACAATTTCACTTACCGCTTGTGCAAACCTATTCGGAATGATTGGTTTGATTTCTGGTAATGAGACGACGACTGGATGAGGCAAGGTTTGAACATTGTCATTACAAGGAATGAGCAGCATATCTTTTCCTTTCGCTGTCTTTGGGGTGCATTCTACGCCCTTCCTATATGATGCGCAATCTTTTGGTATACACAATGCACCGACCATTCTTAATCAAGACGAGGCCAGCAGTGGACAAAAAATAATATTAGTACTAAAGAAATCTAAATTGAATCTAATCATTTAATCAACTAGTCATTCAAAATAAAAAAAGTGGATTCAATTTCATAATATATCTATACAAAATCATTAAAACATGTGTATGTTTTCAAAACTTTTTCTAAAATAGACCAGACGTCAATATGAAAGATATAGATTTGTACTGTTTGGATCTATTGAGGAAAAATTCTGAAATGACTTGGAAGATGACAAATTAGCCTTTTTTTAATTTTTAATAAAGGATAGTAAGAAAATTAAACATTATTCAATACCTTAAAGCAAGAGTCTTTAAATAACAGCTTTTTATTTTCGTGAAATGATATCAGTGCCAAATAACACCTTTTTTTTGGAAGTCAAATAGAATTATTTAAGGTAAAAACAATATTTTTAAAACAGCATTTATTTGTATCAAGTCACAAAATCCATCTCGCATACTTGTGTCTTCGAGTTTCTCTTATTGCTAGATTTTTTGTGCAATTCTTGAGTAAGTATATTGTTCCGGTGTACAAGTTTTTTCACCATGCAATCGGATTCTTTCAGTTTAAGGGTTAAGATGGCACATTTTTCTTCATAGTTTTGATTTTCACTTTTTGTTTCCATCTTTTAAAATTACAATTTTTTTTTTAATATAACATTATAACATAAACAAGACAAAAACTACCTGGTGTTGAACAAACTGAGAAAGAACCTGATTATCCCGTTTTAATTTTGATACTTTCGATTGTTCATGCTGGAGTTCGGTGTTAAGCCTGATATTTTCCTTGGATAGCTTTTTGATCTCGCAGGTTGATTTGTTCAAAAGGAGATCTTTCTTCTTCAAAACTCTCACAAGATCACTGCTATGTCCAGAATTGTCGTCGAAAGTAACGTTCTTCACACTTTTAACACTAGCAACAGTGACATTTGCTATTTCTGTTGAAATATAAACTGTCAAATTTAGATAAGGTCTAATTAAGCAATTAAGAATTACGTTTTAGTTTGGAAATTTTGTATTTCTCCTTGTCAAGGTCCAAAGAGAGTTTGTGTTTATCGATCAACAGTTGAATCTCGTTTTGAAACATTTTTTGTTCAAGATTCGTAGAAATTTTAACACTATTTTCAAGTTTTTGAATTGTTCTTGACATACTGTTAATAGTCATTTGCATGCCTGCCTGCTTCAAAATTCCTTTCTGAAAATAGAAATTAAACTTCTGTATTAAAATATTCTGATAAATGAACACATCTTTTACGATAAAATATGGTAAAAATTTGGCTTAATTATTCAAATCACTTGCGATATTTGCGGTATGTAGCATTCAGCGTAATGTCGGTTTTATTTATTTCAAAATACAAAAAGAAAATAGAAAAAATATAAAATAATATGACAATAAAATTATTAGCAGTTTTGTTAGTTTTAAACACAAACACCTTACCTTTTCTCTGTCAGTCATGCTAAAGAAAACAAATGATATCATTCATATGATTATTTTAATATTTGGAGAGAAATTGGTTTTAGGATGGATGAAATAAACAGACTCGTTCATTTTTTCAATGTATTTTTCTTAACCAATTACATCACATTAGAAATTTATTTTTACAAAATGAAAAGAAATTTTTTTTTAAATTCCTGTTTGTTCTTAAATAGCTCTTTCCCGAATATTTTTTTTTCTCTCAATACCAATATACGCATTATAAATTCATTTTCTATATTTATAAATAATATAAATTGCACATTTATTATAATTTTTCCCAACAACTATACACAAATGGCTTTATATGTACAGCATTGAAAAAATTCCATCACAGTTACTTTTGCTGGAAATATTATCTAGTCGTATAAACTACATAAGAAATACATCCATTTCATTTACTTGTTTTAATTTTTTTTTTTAAATTTTAATGTTACGAAAGGTAATAATAAAATGAAGCAAAATATAATACAATTTATTTAAAATCGACGTCAAAGGAATCAACGTAAAAATATGCCAAAATAATTTCAACAACTACCTTAGAAATTATTTAAATGTAAAAAAGAAAACAACAAAGAACATATTTAATTTTTCCTTAATATAACATACAAATTGAAGTAGAAACTTCATAATGTTATTACTAAAGTACGAAGGAAAATAGTAAACTGTCTTGTCCTTAGAAGCTACTATTTAGCTAAGGTTCATTGAACATTGCACTAATGAGGTATTCTAATAAAAATAAAATTGCAGCTAGGTTTTTCTTTTTTAATAATAATTCTTAATTAATCCCATATGCAACACTTACACTATATACAAAAAATATAGATATATATAACATTGAGGGGAAGCACAACTTTTATTTGGATCAAGGAGGGATTTCGTGGAGACTAAAATATTATTTGAGTGTTCACACATAGAAAGCACCACTAGGTTTTTTTTTTAGTTTTCTTTTTTTATGAATAAAGATTTATATTTATATATATTTTTTTTTTGTAAAAATTATTTACAACAAAAACTAGAGGACTCTTTAGGCCTCACTACTAGGCTAAAAACCACCAAAGGCTAGTTGTTTTTCTAGTAATAAAATTGCTATTTCAATTTATTAAAAAAAAATTCCAGTTTGATTCCAGCTTTATATATGTAATATTTCGTTGCCCAATCATTTCTAAATAGGTATTTCTACATAAAATGTAACATAATATTTAACAAATAAATAAAGAACAGAAAAAAATTAACAAGAGCAATAAATAAATAAATAATTGATTTAAAAAGTAACTGTGGGTTAAATTTTTTAAAATAACACTGTACTGGACCAAACATGAAATTTAGCCTTGCTTACGTTTAAGCCTACTAGTCTTGGTTTCAGTAAATAAATCCAAGTATCATGGTCACCTTGGTACAACTGATATCTCAACACCGAGAAGGAACTTAACCGTATCAGTATATTTAACAAGTGTGACCCTGGGCAATTTAGGGCCGGGCCCAGTCACTGAAGCTTTAATGGTGCGGCAATGTGCTTTGGCGAAAAATTCGGACAGTTTCAAATCCCGCAGGACCTGCCCGGACGATTGGCCAAGCTGTTTCAAAAGGGCCTCTTTTGTTTTCACTTTAAGGAGAGGAGCGAGCTCATGGAAAAGGACCCAAGACTCAGATCGGGACTCGTTGGCCAGCCTGTACAGATTTGGGAGAAGCACTTCGGATTCTTCTACTTCAAAGCCGTCGATTCCATCTCGTGAAGAGTCTGCATCTAGTTGTACTTTCTCACTCACCTGACTTCCGCTCGGTGAGCAATCTTCTAACAAAACAAGAGAAAAAATAGTCAAATTATTTCCAATTTCATAGATTTTAGCAAATAATAGTTCTTGACTTACCTGATTTAATTTGTACTGATGGCGGTGGAGTATTACAATTCGCTATGTGTAGTTCCATCAGCTGTCTCGCTTCTTCATCAGTAGCGAGAGATAAAGCAGTATTGCCCGAGTATGTTGCCAATAGAGGGTCAGCACCATGGTCTAACAGTAGTTTAACTACTTTTGTACAATTATTTTCAGCAGCTTCATGGAGGGGTCTATAAAAAAAATTATAATTTTTTAAAAAAGAAAAATTTAAAACAATAAGAAGAAAAAAAATTACCAACCTTACTCCTCCCAAAGCACTGTCGCTAACATCAGCCCCATAAGTAAGCAGTAAATTGACAATCTGAAGGTGACCTCTTGAACAGGCTTCATGAAGTGGTGTGTACCCTGCGTTGTCACGAGGAGCTGGGTTGTGATTAAGTTTATCGAGGCAGTAACGGACTGTTTCCTATACAGAAAAATTAATCAAACAATTATTGGTTTTTAACATTGGGATTTGTGGAGTCTATAAATTAAAACATACCACGTTGCCAAGTCTGGAAGCTCTGTGCAGAAGAGTTTCGCCGAGTCCTTTATTGAGAACCCAGCCTTTAATTTCTGATTGAATTTCTTGTTCTGTCATTGGTGGGTTTTTCTAAAATAAAATGATAACATTAAAAAAATAAATAAATAAATCACAGTGTTTATTTTTTAACAACTGACCTTCTTCCGCTCACGAGGAGGATGTTCCCCTTCTTTCTTAGGTACAGTGGCTTTTTTCTTTTTTCTGATGTAATCAAAACCCGAGCTTTTCAATTTCCTCCTAAACATTTTGACTTTGTGTTTTATCTTTTTGCCATCGGCGGATTTTGCACCAGGTACTGCCTTAAATTGTTCAGACTTGTGCTTTGGCAGCATCTTTTTCCTTTTGTCAGGATGAGCTTTCCTTCTTATTCTTATTAACAAAAAAAAAAAAACAAAAAAAAATTAATGCAGGATTGGAAAATTTGTTTTATTTTTGCAGGTGCTTGTCATGTAAACAAAGCTAAATCCTCAAATTTAATTTATGGTTTATAATAAATAAATTGAGCTGTTATATTTTATACAAAACAGTTTAGATTATACTGACTTTTATAATAATGAGGATCTGCGAAAATGACCTAACTCAATTTTTGTACAAATCAATTAATTAAGGTTTTTAGTTGAGATGAAAAAAAGTCAATGGCACGAGCGGGATTCGAACCCACGATCTTCGGCTAGATACACCGCTGCTCTACCACTTGAGTTATCGTGACCTCGATCCACTTGGACATCAATTTCCTATCTCAACCCCACCTTATGAGTTTTCCCTCCTTTTTGCCATTTTTCAAATGTCGTGTAATCGGATTGGATTCTCAACGACAAATGAAATGGCCACGGAGAGCTTTTAGTGTAAGTGTACTTCATTTTAATTCATTAAATTCACTAATTTTGTGGTCTGCTTGACCAATTAATACATTACAATTAATTAAGGTTTTTAGTTGAGATGGAAAAAAGTCAATGGCATGAAGTTCATGTCCGAGTGGATCGAGGTCACGATAGCTCAAGTGGTAGAGCAGCGGCGTATCTAGCTGAAGATCGTGGGTTCGAATCCCGCTCGTGCCATTGACTTTTTTTCATCTCAACTAAAAACCTTAATTAATTGTAATGTATTAATTGGTCAAGCAGACCACGAAATGTACAAATTTAAACTCGGGTGAAGTGCAGCCCAAACCATGTATAACAACAATACAGTTTAGGGAGGGAAGCATGAGCGAGTGCATGGTGCAGTAATGGTTTCAGAGGTTTTGATGAAGACAGGGAAGGTCGCAGTAGGCCTTCTGTTATGGACGACGACCAGCTCAAATGTTCACTGAAGAAAATTCAATAAAAACAACAGGGGAAATTGCGGAAGAGCTTAGTGTTGACCGCTCAACCGTTGTTCCCCATCTGGTGCATATTGGTAAAGTAAAAAAGCTCGAAAAGTGGGTACCACACGAACTGAACAAAGCCCAAAGAAATCGACGCTTTGAAATTTGCACATCTCTTCTCTTGCACCACCAAAATGACCCATTTCTCAATCAAATCATCACGTGCGATGAGAAATGGATTCCGTGTGATAACAGGAGGCGAATAGGTCAGTGGACAAGGATTATGCACCAAAACACTTTCCGAAACCAAATTGGCACCCAAAAAAGATTATGGTAACTGCCTGGTAGTGTACTGCTGAGGTTGTTCACTATAATTTCCTGAATGATGTTGAAATATCACAGCAGAGAAATATGGTCAAAAAATTAACAAAATGCGTGGGACGCAATGCAACGTCATTGTCCAGCATTGGTAAACCGTAAGGGGCCGGTTCTTCTTCCCGATAACACCAGAACACACATGTCGCAATGGCAAACCTGCGGAAACTTAAGGACTTAGAATATGAACCTTTACCGCACCCTCCATCTTCACCCGACCTGTCATTTACAGACTTCCACTTTTTAGGCATGTTTATAACTTCTGGAGGGATAAATTTTTTAAAGAATGCAGTGATGCCAAAAACGCCCTCCAAGACATTATTGTGAGTCCAAAAAAGTTTTTTATGAAAGAGAAATAAAAGTACTTATTAAACACTGGCAAAGATTGTGATGAAAAATATTTCAAATAAATTTTCTTTATCTTATAAAAATAAATAAATAGTTTTAATTGCCTTTATTTAGCCTTTAATAACCTGAATTATTTTTACACCAACACAATAGTAGTTATATATAAATTTGTTATGATTGTTATTTACCTTTGCCTTCGCCTGAGGTCTTCTCTTGTAACACCTGGAGGTGGAGCAGAAGCGGGTCTCTCGGCGCCAAACACCTCCTTTACAGTGAGACTCCGTCTGTACTCTTTGCTCTCCGTTCTAGTCCTAGATTCAAGAACAATAGGAGGAATGTCGACTTCAGCCCGATATTCTCCAGTTTTGAGAAATTCTGCTCTGTATTCAGCCAAAGTTTCTTTCCTGAAGCCAAGATAAGCTCCAGCAACGCCGGCCGGATTGTTCTCCAGGCCTGGTGTAGGAAGGAGTTCAGTTTCGACTTTTTCTTTAACATCGTTCACCTTGTTCACGAGTTTCTTTAGAGGCCTCGCTCTTCGAGCACAATACCTGAAATGAATAAAGATGTTATTTTAATTGAATTGTTTTTTTAATTGAATCAATTTTTTACCTCTGCATAAGGCGATCGAGAAAAGACTTCTCTTCTCCAAGGGTTTTCGCAATAGCTTTTTTATCATCTTTAATATCTTTTTCATTTGAAGGTTCGACTTTTTGAGTCGATTTATTTGGAAAAGTATCTAAAGAGTCAGTATTCGGTGAATCTGGGAACATCTCGAGGTCTGGTAGACTGAGAGATCCCTTGGGCCAGCCAGGCGGTCTCGTAATAGATATAAGACAAGAAGGTATCCTTAAGGATTTCTTAAATCTATAAAGTTCTTCCTCCCAACCGGGAGCGAAATCGGAGCCATCGCCAAACACCGGCTTCTTGGTCTTCTTCTTAGCCATTGTATTTACCTTCTTTGGTGAACCTTTAATCTTCTTGGTAACCGGTTTAGAGTGCTCAGATATATGTTGGCCCTCACATTCAGGACCAGCTTGACCGTTTGTCTCGTCTTCTCTCGCTTCTTTTTTTACCCTGTTCTCATTTATTTCATTTTCCTGTTTTAAAGGTTCTACTTCAGAAAGAGATTGTTCTGTACCAGGCTCTTTCTTAATATCACAGACAAATGGGATATTATCCCTAAGTTTCTTTTTGTGCCTTCTTCTAAACGCTTTACCCATGTTTAGTTGAAGCACTAGTTCGTCACATCGTGACAGCCAAATTTTGTATTCTTCCTCCTCGTCGACCTGAAGATTTATTTATTTATTAATCATTTTTGTACAATAATTATAAACGATTAGGATTTAAATAGAGTAAATAAGCTACCTGATCTCCTTCTTTCTTCCTCCTCATTTCATTAAGAGTTTGCCTTTCTAAAACAGGCATATCACTTTCAGAATCTGAGTCCCGAAAATCAAAAACTGAAGCCTCCGAACTACTCCTGAGCCCGCTCTCCCTGGATGGGATATGAAATCCTGGAGGGTGTATAACTGAGGCATTTTCTAACGCTTGAATACCACTCTGGTCTTCCTCAGTTTTAAATACTCTACACATACACATTAAGAAATATTTTTAAAAATCCAATAATAAAATCACAATAAAATAATAATTCAATAACAAAAACCAGTACATTCAATTAATTAAGGTTTTTAAGTTGAGATAAAAAGTCAGTGTCACGAGCGGGATTCGAACACACGACCTTCGGCTTGTCACGATAGCTCAAGTGGTAGAGTAGCGGCGTATCAAGCCGAAGGTCGTGTGTTCGAATCCCACTCGTGACACTTGACTTTTTATCTCAACTTAAAAACCTTAATTAATTGAATGTTATTAACTGGTCAAGTGGACCACAAAAAATAGTGAATGAAAAACCAGTACCTTTTTCTAGGAAGATTGGCGATAAGTGCTTGTTCCTTGGATAATTTTTGAGAATTAAAGGTCCACTGAGACTTGGCAGTATTACTTAACAGATCTGCCATACTACTACTTCTGACTAGATCTAAAATAAATTTCAAAAATTAATACCAATATAATTTGATTAGTGAATACTGATTGTTGATATAATCAGTACCCTTTTGAGTAGGGGATTGGAAACCTGGAATGCTCCTGTGAGGTGATGTTCGGCCAGAAGAACTCGAACCTGGTGTGATAGGTCTATCAGTACCGTTTGGGCCAGTTACTTGCTAAAAATTCAAAATAAAAATATTAACAATCGAATATAAATTTTCCCAATAAAGTTCAATTCATTGATATCGAACCTGTTTGAGTTCTGCTTTTGTCCTTATCCTTGCAGCAAGGAATGCGGCTAAACCATCATATTCTCCTTTGATATTGGTACCTAGATGATGTCCACTTTGTTGTAAAGCTTCTTCATCTTCTCCCGTTATGTCAACGACATCTTGGTTTGTCGGGATTTTCTGAGATTGGCCGTACAAAGATTTACTACTAGATGCTGCATTGTAACCAGGAGGCATGGAAGGAAAGTGATGAATGTATGGAGAAGTCTGAGGAGAAGTCGATGACCTATCAGTAGTAATAGCGCAAAAAGGTGGCAGATTGTGTCTTCCTTGATAACCAGGATGTAGTACGCTGTTACTCCTATTTTCTCCGTATTTTGCTTTCTGTTGTTGCATTTGCTGCTGATGTTGAAATTGCTGGTGATGGAGCTGTTGTTGCTGCAGCTGCAGGTTCCTGGCCTCTTTGGTTTCAAGAGAATTTCTTAATATGCTTAACACTCTTTTATCTGCAGCACCTGGAAAAGAGAAAAAATACATAAAAACAATGAATGATGAGTTTTTAAAATATGCTTAAAATGTTGAGACCAACCTCCGCCGTTAGAATGCTTCTGATCGGGATAGTATGCACCTTGATTTTGTGGTCCCATAAAGGTTCCTTTTTTGGCATCGCCGTTGACTGCTTTGGAGGACAAATAGGAACTGAAACGTTTTTCAATTTGTTGATCTATGCTTTCCCTCCAAGTATCAACTCTTGCTTGCTTTGCCACTGGCACAGAGCTCTGCTGAGAACCCGAGGAACTGCTTGGAACTTTTATATCTTCGTGTGGAGGCCTTTTTAAATAATTGTGGGGTTGAAATTGCCTCGAGGAATTAGGTGGTTGATCTGGCGGTGTAGGCTGGTAAGAATGCCTTGACTGCTGAGGTGGTTGTTGGACTGGATTCTGCGGTGCCATAGGATAATAATGTTTAGCGAAACTGCCCATTGATGGAAGAGCCTGATAATAGCGCATATCTTGCTGGTGCTGTTCCTTTCTTCTCTTTGGATCAGCTAATTGTTGAGAGGGATGCTGGGGCTGTTGAGGCTGCTGGGAGGGGTGTTGATTATGATGTAACTGTGCTAATGAATGTTGTTTCTAAAAAAAAAAAATAATTATGACAAAAATTTAAGTATGCTAATATAGAAATTGATAGTATATTAAGAAATTACCTGGGGAGGATAAGAGTTGTGGTAATCTACTTTAGTTTGGGCAGGGGGTAACTGTTGATGGTACTGCGCTTGAGAAGTCTGATGTTGATTTTGATGAGGGTGCTGTTGCTGAGAATGGTTATAACCTGGTGTTGGCGGGTAGGAAGAAAGGGATTTACTCCTCATGTACTCTTGCTGCTGTGAATGGTAATAATAATTCATTTGTTCAGAATCAGATGCTGTAGAGTCTGCACTCTGTCGAACAGTTTTTACTGATAAATCAAGTGGAGACTCTCTTTTGAGAACTGTTCCAGTTTGCAGCCTTGGCTGATGTTGAGTTTGTGCAGTGGGCGGTATCGGTGTTGATGAATGACCAGGATAAAAGCCCTACACAGAAATTGTTATAATTAAAATCTATGCATTTGCATTTGGTATATTTATGTTATTTTACCTGAGGTGTAGAAAGATCCCTTGAAGGTTCCTGTTGTTCAGTCTGATTCAGCTGTGGATTCGGAGTACTAGATTGTGGATGGGATTGGTGGTGGTTGTTATAATTATTATAACCTATATAATTAACAGGTGTACTATTTGCACTTCTGGCAACACCTGGTGAAGCATTTCCATTCAATTGGTGCTGAGGATGTTTCATTTGTTGATGCTGCAAATTGGGTGTTGGGGTCCTTTGTTGAGGCAAGCTTTGAACATTAGTGGGTGGCTGAAGTTGATGTTGGGAAGGTGGCCTTGGTATCTCTTGATGTTGAGAACCTCGTGGAGGGTGAGCAGTTAGTTGTGGCAGTTGTTGTTGTTGCTGCTGCTGCTGCTGCTGTCGCTGCTGTTCTTGCAACTGCTGATGTTGCCTCTGTTGTTCTTGATTGTGCCTCTGCAATTCTAGATGAAGCCTCTGTTGCTCCTCATGTTGTTGTCGAAGCTGTTGCTCTTGATTGTGCCTTTGTAGTTCTTGATGATGACGCTGTTGTTCCTCTTGCTGTCGCTGCTGCTCTTGTTGGTGTTTCTGTTGATCTTGATGCTGCCTCTGTTGATCCTGAATTTGCCTCTGCTCATGATGACGGGAGTGTTCTTGTTGACGTTGCTGCTCCTGCATATGTCTTTGTTGTTCATGTTGCTGTTGAGAAATGAGTGTTTGCTGTTGCTGGTGAGGATGCGGAGGATTCTGCTGCTGATGGTGTTGACCCGGATGCATTAACATCTGTTGTGCAGGTTGATGTGGGTGGTGGTGAATAGCCTGCTGCTGCTGCTGCTGCTGCTGTGTTTGCGAAGGTGTCCTTAAGAGATGATATTGACCAGGGTAGTCCATCAGAGAAGGCTGATGTTGTCGTTGAGGTGGAGGACTTGTATTAGGCATAGCAGGACCCGGAACACTGTTCGAATTTCGATAATTCAACGAAGAAAACGGAGCCAAGCTCGGTACCCTAGTAATAATGTGTAAATAATGTACCAGTTAAATATATAAGATATCAGGTTTTTAACAAAATACCTAAGTGGTTCTTGGTGTTGGTAACCTTGGTGCTTCGTCGAAGAAGACTGCTGCTGCGAGGGTTGGTAGGAATGATGAGCACCTTGCTGTTGGTAGTAGGCTGCAGCTGCGGCCGACGACGCAGGCGGCCCCGCGCCGCCCGCGATACCGACCAGCGAATTGTACTGCCCCCCTGTATTTCCGGTACCCACTGCCGCCGGCGGGACCCCTTGGAAGTACTGCCTGGTGCTTTCAAGCACATTGTTAAATGAAACATCCATACCTGAAAAGCAATCCGGAACCATTATTAAGATTGAAAGCCGGTTTTAATCAAAACATGGCAATCGGTTTAAGTGAAACCCAGGAGACATTTTCAGACGGCCTCACGCCCGATTCCCAAGAGTCCTTCTTGTAATCAACCCTACGGGCTCTCAGGGAGATTAAATAATCGACTATACTAATAACGCAGTATGCTGTATTATAAACGAAAATCCATTGAGAAGGCAACAGATGAGAATGGACGACGTTAAACAGATGGATATTGAATAAAACAACCCTTGAAGATAAATGAAAATGTAACGAGGTTTTCAGAAAACTGGGGCGAACAGGGTGAAAAAACACACCTGATGATAATGATTGTCATTTATTTCAGTTGCAAGGCAAAGGCAGAATCGAATTTTGTGCAGCCTTGCAAACAAACTTCTTTTTGCACAAACTGTGCCGTTTCTGGAGGTAATAACAACCTGGAAACACATCCAATAGTAAAAACCCTTAAGGGTGAAAACTCTTAAGGGGAACAGATTATTCCTCGTCAAGAAACCCTTTATTGGAATATCGCGCATTCTCACAAAAATATTTCCTCCGTTTTAAGAGGGATGCCGATGTCAATGGCGCATGAGAAGGCAGAACTTTTTTGATTAGCTTAAACCCTTTGGCAAACAGATTGGTAATCCGATCGGGCGTAAGACCCCTCCTATTAAAGAAGGGCGGAGGCGAATTGCAAGACATCAACACCTCACTTAAGTCCCAGCGGGGTTCGCATTTCGTTCTTGTCTTTTCTTCGTCGGCAGATTCGTGCCGATTAATTAACAATATTGAACCAAACGTGCTAAAACTATACATTCTTGTGATTTATTGCCTGGGAAAATTATTTCAGTGTTGGAACACAACAAAATATGAACCGCAAAGTTAGTAGTGGCATAATTTATACTGAAATTTTTCAGACCGACAACCAAGCTGTAATTGAAACTATTTGTTTTAGTTCATCTTAAGTTGTAACAAAACAAATTACAAAAAAATCAATTACAGATGTTTTCCCTGAACATAGTAGAATGGAATGATGAACCAGCGAGATTAAGCGGATACGCGTTGATCGATCGCTCTGCAAGATAAATAATGAAAATAAAAATTTCGCACTTCTATTACAAAGTTATAAAAGGTACAAAAAATTTAATCGAGATTTGTTCTTGGAATTTGATTTTGTGTTTCGTTAAACAATCAATTACATTACATACCAAGTAGATGTGCCCACTTATTTATTAAAACAGAATACCAAGGAAATGTTTGCCAATGATTTATATAATGATTATAAAATCGGAGTGTTTGTTTCCTTTATTTTCGACATTGCAATTATTAAATAAAATTAATTAAATAGTAATTTAATTACATACTATTTTACGTACACAGATGCAACCATTTATACCTTTATTTGGTGATCGTGAGGTGCGGTCTGGTGTGACGTAGGTTTTAGAAAAACATTTTATCAGGCCAACGTTTCGATCTTTATTGAGATCATCTTCAGGGCTTTTTTCAAGGCTCAAAGTGTTTCCGTGTAGATGTGTCATTCTTGTGTGTCGTGTTGAGAGTGCTAGTGAGATATTCACAAGAATCTACACGGAAAACAAACAATTTGAGCCTTGAAGATGATCTCAATAAAGAACGAAACGTTGGCATGATAAAGAAAATGTTTTTCTAAAACCAACGTCACACACACCAGACCGCACCTCACGATTTGCAAATAATCATTGTCTAACGGTCACTAAACACAACACATTTATACTTTTATTGCATGCATTCAGAGAAGACGAGTTATTAACGATTTTATTACAAAATTTGAGCGATTTTACTGTTTTTAAAGCAAGAAGAAGGAAACTTGCAGGCAATAAAATGTTCCAAGAAATCATAAGTTATAATTTTTAAAACACTGGAATGCTGTAAAAAAAAAAAAAAAAACTGCAGAACTATCCCTCTTGAATCAGGTAGATCAAAAAAGCAAACTTCTGAAAAATTCTCCATCGATTTTCTTTTCTTAGATAACGTTTAGTTAACACAGAAAGTGGTTCTGTTCTGACAGGTTTTCCAAAGCAAATTCTCTATTCCTGTTTCAAGGTAGTAAAAGTTTGCTAAAAAGGATCATACCAGTTTGTATGAATTTCAAATTCACTTTTAGCTGACTCATGGTTAAGTGAGAGAGCTCCATTGACCTCAACTGAAAAGGATACAAAGCTTTACCATTCGAAAAACCCAGCTTTGCTTAATCTACAATGTGAAAACACAACGTACACATTTATTTCTATCAGCATCGCACCAAGTGTAAAGCCTTGCTTCGAACTACCCAAGGCTCACATCACAGAGCCGAAGCTGCCTGATTAAAGTTTTTCGTCTTACAAGCCTCATCATCATCAGACTATCAGTATACATTACGACCACGAACATCACCCCTTCAGACTCACTTTCCACACCGAGGCTCATATTTTACTAGACCAAAGGCTCAAAGACTGGGCGTTTCATGCGACTCACTCGGAGCAGCTAGAACATGCGACTTGTCAGTTTTAACATGGATATGTTTGTGGGCCGGATACACAAAATTTTCTGGGCCATTCCTTATTACCAGGGAGTCTGCCATGGTGAGATAAGGTGAGGAATGGTTAAGGTAGATAAGGCAAGGGTTAGAGTTAAGGTTAGGCTAGGGGGAGGTTAGATTAGATAGGGTTAGGTAAAGTCCGGGTATGGGTTGAGATTAGGTTAGGTCAGGTTAGATTAGGTGTGGTAGAATTCTAATTCGTTAAGCTAGGCTAGAGAGAGTTGGATAAGGTTAGGTAGAGTGACGGTAGTAAGGGACGGGTTAGGTTAGGTTAAGTAGGGTTAAAGTTAAGGATTAAGGGGTGGTTAGGGTTAAATTAGGTATGGATTAAGGTGATTAAAGTAAGTTTAAGTAAAGTCAGGGTTAGGGCCGGATTACGGGTTAGAATTAGAATAGGGTTAGAATTCGGGGCGGGTTTCACATCACAATGTAATGTTTTTCCGCGAGGCGGAGAAAATATGCTGGTGTGGAATATGAGAAAAATGTTTTACAGTTTTTCTTTCTCTAGCCAACTTAATTCGAATTTCAAAAATCCGGGAGAAAACATTTCCGTACAAGTGCATGTTTTTTCTTTCAATGATCAAAGGCAAGCAAAATCTTTATGTTTGAGATTTTTTCATTGGGTCTGAGGAGTAACGAATCTCTAATTTGGTCGTTTCCGATCATTTTTGGTCTGCCTATACTGACCACTGAAAATGGCTAAATGCCGAAACGCGTCTGAAATACAAAACCAGCGAGGCCAGAAGGACCAAAAATGATCGAAAAAGACTAAATTACAAATAGTATTTACACGTTTCTCTGAATAGAGAAAACGTTAAACTTAAAACGGTAAGTTGTATAGGGAAATTTCCGAGTAGTTTGATATGATAAATAAACATATGTTTTAAGCACTCTGAGTACGTCGTGGTGTCAAATTTAGCATGCACAGTCGGTAGTCAATGTTCAAATAAAGCCCAGCTTCGGCTTTTTAAACTTGTCTAACTTTTATCAAATGACTCGGTTTGTTAATTACAATATCGAGGAAATGAGAGTAAACGGGTATTCAGGCTAACTAGGCCTCGCCACCTCAGTTCACATCAAAGAAAAAAAAATCTGAAAGTGCTTTCAGTGAAGATTACTCAGTTCTATTCAATTAGTACTTTCCCCAATCGGCCTCTCTGAGAGGGGTTTCTCTCTTTTCGGAGGGTGCGAGCTGTACCGGGGTGAGTCATAATAGGAGAGGGTGATAAAATTAAACGATAATAAAAAAAAGCCGTTCAAGGGGTTTCATTTTTAATTAGACATCGTTTCATTGTCAAAACCCGTTTTGGAAAGTTGGCCCACTAAAGCGGAAAAGGTTTCGCGTTCCTTTTCAACTGTATTTTAAACATTTTCGATAAATATTAAATGGGTTAATAAAAATCTAAGGTCGTGTTTGTAAGATTAATTATAACTATTATACATTTTTTACAAGCCTAAGACTTATTATGACTTTCAGCCTTACAAATTAGTAAATAATATATCTTCTCATGGTCTAAAAAAAGGAGTTTTCTCTTAGAAAACGAGAGTTGCCTAGTTTGCTATCAAGAAGTATAATTATAACAATTTATTTTTTATCGGGTAAAATTCATAATGAATTGATTAATCGGCTTTTTCGTGTAAATATTGATTGAAACGTGATATTAATGTTTGAATGGCTTTATGGTTTTACATACTAACTAGAATGAAAAAAGTCGGAAGGTGAGGACAGGATCAGAAATTCCGTGGGCGACGGTGGGAATCGAACCCATGACCGCAGGGTCCACGAGCCGAAAGTCATGGTGCGAAAAACAGACACCACGACTACTCAGAGTGCTTTGGACATATGTTTATTTATCTTATCAAACTACTCGGAAATTGTCCTAAAAAATTGATATTTAACAACTTAACGTTTTCGCTATTCAGAGACGTATGTGCATAAATACAATTTGTAATTTGGTCGTTGCCGATCATTTTTGGTCTTGTCCTCGCTGGTTTTGTATTTCAGACGCGTTTTGGCATTTCGCCACGATCAGTGGTGAGTATAGGCAGACCAAAAATGATCGGAAACGACCAAATTAGAGGTTCTTCACCCCGCAGACCAAATGAAAAAATCTAAAACTCGATTTTTTCTTGGCTTTGATATCATGAAAGAAAATAACATGGAAATTTTCTTCTTCTGGATTTCTGGAATTCGAATTAACTTGGCTAGAGAAAGAAAAACTGACAAATAGTTTTGTATCGTGGACATGAAACCCGACCTAACCCTAATCTTACCTTTAATCCTATATAGCCTAACCTAATCCGTCCTTAACCCTGACCTACCTAAACTAACCCTCAATCGTAACTCTGCATAACCTACCCTAACCCTAACTTAAACCGTCCCTAAATTTAATCCTACCAAACAACTCTAATCTTAACTTTAACCCTACTTAACCAAACCCGCCCATTACCCTCACCTTACCTAACCTTATCTAATATGGACTTGTAAGAGTAAAACGTAAAGCATTACTTGATGTACATGTCTACTTATAGTTTATCGTGATTAGACGATCTTAAGGTTGTACGGTATACTTAGCCTAAGCAGTGTGTTTGAGGGTTTTTAATGGTGCAGTTGACACTCCTAAGGTACTCTGATATTAAAATGGCTACGATATTTACTTCAAAAATGGCATAAAACTAGTGTGCGGAAATGCGAAACAGACCGTAAAGGTTTTATCCAAAAAGAAATAGCGAATCCGGGAGGACGGCGCCAAGCCATTGAGATTCTTAGTCATTCTTATGTTCATTTTTATTATTTATTAATTATTATTAAATTCATTGGATTTCGTGGTCCGATTGACCAAATAACATCTTTCAATTAATTAATCTTTATGTAAGGTATTGGTTGAGATAAAAAAGTTTAAAGCTGACTTCCCATCTCAACCAATCACCAAGTTAGTGTCCAAGTCGAAGTCACGTTAGATCAAGTGGTAGAGCAGCGGCGTATTTAGCCGAAGGTCGCGGGTTCGAATCTCGCTCGTGACACGAACTTTTTTATCTCAACCAATACCTTACATAAAGATTAATTAATTATTATATTCAAAGGTAGAATTGAAATTTACATGAACTAGTTGATACCTTTAATTTGTCCATTTGTCTTTAAGTCATTTTTTTTTGCTATGCTATATCATCAAAAAGTTCATCTAAAGTCATATACGAAATGTAATAAAATGGTCAAATTTATTTAAGCGCAGAGGATGAAATATGCCGGCAGGAAAACTTTGGCTTTAAACGTCAGGCGTTTAAGCCGTTCTTTTTTTATCTCTCGCATCTTAATATTAAACGATTTTGAACAACGTAAATTTTATTTGCGTTTACCTGAGTCTCGAAGAAAGAAAAATTTCATCAGCGAGCAGCGAGATTTGCCGCCCCTGGTGATCTGGGATAAATATGTATGGATTAAAAGCTTTCGGATTTTCAAGTTCAACCACTCGTAAACTTCAACGTAAATGCAGTTGCCTACCCGCCTATTCAAATGGGAAAAGTTGGACCACTGCCTAACTTTTTTTATCGCATTAAAATTTAAAATTTATTTCAAAGAGGGAAAAAACTGGCTTAATTCTTATGATTGATTAAACTGAAAAATGTACATGATAACTTGTTACTACTCAAAATTGATTAATAAAACAAATAAAAAATTGGATTTACCTTTCAATTGCCAGGGGGGATCAGGGAAGTGTTTCGGAAGACAGGGGAAGGGGTAGCGTCATTGTGAACCTTGCGGACGGCCGCCTCTCCATCAATCTGCAACAAATAAAGATACATTTTTTATAAATTCTTTCCAATACGTTTCCTTCAGAACCTTAAGCAGCAGCAAAGGCACTAGAAGTCTGATGACACTTTTTTTCATAGTGAAAGAAAGGCCAGCGACAACAGTAGGAATTGAACCCACGACCTCGGGGTCTACGAGCCGAGAGTCTATCACGCCGACCAGTCGACTACCGCGGTCCAAAATTCTTATTTATATATTATAAACTCTACACAGGATTCATTCCGCTTAGAAAACAGCTGTGAAAAACGGATCAGCGATATCTGTTGAGTCTTTGAGAAGACGAGGAATATACGCGGAAGACCCCAACTGGAGTCCTATGAAAAAGACACAAAACAGTTTAAATTCCGATTCAGGACAATCAAATAAGGATGACCTTAGGAGCAACAACTACCCATTAATAAAACCCAAATATACTCTGCTTAGGCTGTGTACCGTACATCCTTAAAATCTGCTCCAAACGGCTTATAACCAGGAAAACCTGGCGGAAGACTCGACGAAAAGGCACAGTAAACGTTTTGATATCCTTACCGTTCATTTTGGTTTAACATCCTCACTGAGTTGGCCTGTCAAGATGAGGTACACGCTGAAGATGGCGAAATGCGGATACGCGTGACACACCCAGCGAGGGTGTGATAGATGATCGGTAAGGATTACAGGTTCAACACCCCGCATAAAAAAAAGACATGTCACTAACTTGATGATAGCCAGATTTTAAAAACCAACTGCTGAATTGCCTTTCTTGCACTCTTTCTTGTCTTATCCACATCAGAATCGTTGACAGAAAACCAAAAAACACCAACACACACCAAACGGCCTCAAGCCAGAGACCTTGATTAACCACGGAGTTTGATTGCGAAAGGAAACCAACATTCCTTGTAGGCATTTTTCAGTCATCTCGAGAAATCGCAGTTGGAATTGAAAATATCCCGAAGATCACCTTGGCGATTTCCTCAATAACATATCCATCGATATAATAGTGAATGTTAGCAATACTGGAACCATGATCTAGCATGGAGTAGAAGATAGTGCTTGTAATAATAAGGCCTCAAATATAGTCAAAACTGAAGAAGTCCAGTGTCACCACCTTTCTATAGCTTTAAATCATCACCAAGCTGACTTAGTTTTGATAATCATTGTGACATCCTTAAAAAAACATCAAAAATAACAATTAATTAAGGTTTTTAGTTGAGATAAAAAAGTAAATAGCACGAGCGGGATTTGAACCCACGATCTTCGTCTAGATACGCCGCTGCTCTACCACTTGAGCTATCGTGACCTCGATCCACTCGGACACCAACTTCCCATCTCAACCCCACCTTTTGAATTTTCCCTCCTTTTTGCCATTTTTCATCCATTTTTATCTCAACTAAAAACCTTAATTAATTGTAATATATTAATTGGTCAAGCGGACCACGAAAGTAGTGAATTAATGATTTAAAAATGAAGTACACTTCACTAAAGCTCTCCGTCGCCATTTCAATTGTCGTCGAGAATCCAAACCGATTACACGACATTTGAAAAATAGCAAAAATTAGGGAAAATTCGAAAGGTTGTAGGTTGAGATGGGAAGTTGGTGTACGAGTGGATCGAGGTCACGATAGCTCAAGTGGGAGAGCAGCGGCGTATCAAGCCGACGATCGTGGGTTCGAATCCCGCTCGTGCCATTGACTTTTTTATCTCGTCTAAAAATCTTAATTAATTGTAATATATTAATTGGTCAAGAGGACCACGAAATTAGTGAAATCAAAAATAACATTGGTCTGGGTCCCTGAGGAACACACAAATCAATAACGACATTAGAGAGAACACCCTTATAAGAAACAGCAAATGATCTATTAGACAAAAATGACTCAAACCAGTCCTGCAAGGGATGCCCAATGCCAATGTATAAACGGTTAGTTAAAGAAAAAAGCAATAAATAATGAGTTAAATTTAACACATTAGGTCTACTGCAGGAGAAGAAAAACTACACGTAAAACCTAAGCATTTGACGACCACATGTTGGCTAAAGAAGAAAGTTACAAACTTTCATTAGTAATATGATCATTTCTGACCTCTTTGTCAAACGATCGAACCAAACACCTTCTTCATTCTTCAAATTCCAATTCCAGAGCGACCGTAGTAGATTGCGACGTTTATGGTATTATGTCAGCAATTTCACTGGACCGGTTTAGTTTCTACTCGACGTCAAGGGGAAGTCCTTATGTCAAAAGTATATTAATTAATCCATTATCGACACGGTAACAATTTCAAAGTCATAGATCATATGTAAATAATTTATTGATCCTGATCGTTTCGTCTGATGTTGCGCGAAAGTGTATTACGGACTGGAGCTCATTTGCATACTACTGACCTTCATACTCAGCAAACACGTGGGAGACGAGGAGGAGCCCCAAGGCCGTTTGTTACACTCCGGAGCTCGTCTAACTTTTAATCTCTACATGATTTCATGATTTCCGTATGGCAAAAGGTCGGTGTAGATTTCGTTTCGGAGAAAGCGTGAATTACGTTAATCCCGTGAATCCTCGTGTTTGCTCCGACTCCCTACCTTCAAAGTTTCGCGCTTCTTCTGCTACTCGCTTTAATTCAATTCTGAACGGCTTAATTCCCAAACAGTTGTTCTATGGATTAAAATTTACGCGTAGGCGTGTTTAAAGTTACTCTTGTCCATTGTTCCATCAAAGCTGCCAAGAAAAAAGTTGTGTTTTTCTTCACACTTTCGATACGAAAATGTATCAACTACTTCACTACTTTCGTGGTCCGCTTGACCAATACATGACAATTAATTATGGTTTTTAGTTGAGATGAAAAAAAGTTAATGGCACGAGAGGGATTCGAACCCAAGACCTTCGGCTAGATACGCCGAAGGTCGTGGGTTCGAATCCCTCTCGTGCCATTAACTTTTTTCATCTTAACTAAAAACCTTAATTAATTGTATCAACTACCTTCAATTATATTTCAATGTTCTATTCATCATGAAGAAGAATACTGAAGTGGTCGTGTCCTCGCGGTCGGATCCTGATCTGTGAAGACCACAAGTTCATAACCTCGCAATTTTGTAGGTCATCTTTTATCATCATGGTCTATTCTCTTTGAGCAGGTTTCTGCGTTCAACCATACAATAATTGCTTTGTGATACGAAATAAACCCTGCCTAGTAATGAAGATGGCGAGAATGCGAAAAGCGTCTGACTTAGGTTTCTACATGTTTTTTTTACGTAATGGATCTAGAACGAGATTCAATTACCTAAATTGTGAGATTTCTTTTGAAAATAGGTTGTTGAACCTGTAGTTCGTCGTTCCGATCATTTAGGTCTATATTCTCAATAGTAGACCAGGTTGTCCAAAATACAGGTCCGTCACCATGTAAACGTCATCAAAGTTGAATTTTAATAAATTGTCAATGTTTCTTTCATTTATTAACGTTGTAACCTTGGACATTGATTGTGAAATATGCTTAAAGAGGATGTCACCTATCGGGCATATGAACCATCTCTTTTAAGAAAATACCCCGACCTCTAAGAAGGCACAATCACATAAAATTCACCATCGTATCGTCCAAAGTTTAGAAATCGTTTCTTTATGTCGGTAAACAATAATAAATAAAGCAATAAGAAGATCTTAGCATGCATATCTTCACAGATGTGCCAGAACTATTGGCAAGATAGGCACACTAGATCGTAAACGACCATACCAAAACTTTATCATCCCGCAAACTCACGAGAAGAATTGTTAAAATAGCTTTTTTATTTATTCGGAACCTTAAGAAAGAAACAGTTTGCATTTTTTAAACAAACCTGCCGAAGTGTGTCTGGACAGGTCAGAGGGTGATGATGCTGGTGTCCGTTATTCACCTCTCGCTGCTTTTCCTTGTTTCTCCTTATTCCCAATTCATAAGATGAAATCCATTCTTTCAGCATTCTGAAGCATTCTAAACGGACTTCTATGAAGCCTGCAAAATGGGATCGACGCTTATACAAACAAGGAGACTGGGAGAATGGTTGAGAAGACTGGAAATACCTCCCACCAATTAAACTCAAAAAATTGCTTTTACAGTACTAGATATAGAATTTTTAATGCTACTTAAAAAAAAATCAACATGGCAAACAGCTTATAATTTTTATCATCGCTTATGGCACAATGATAGTCTTCTAAAGCGTCAATTTCTACACAGTCGTGGGAACTACTGATTATTATTGTTTACCATACCCTCTGGTCCGTTTAGTACGGCCGTGCGATTCGGGATGTGGCCGATAAAGGACGGATTGACCGCAGGTCGTTAAATCTCGGTCTTTGAACCTGGTAACGGTAAGCCGGTACACTATTGCCCGCCCATTCCAAGCCAATTTCCCGTTCAGAAACCTACAAAGCCGGAGAAACCAACAACAACAACGGAGAATATTGTGTCTGTTGTACGTTTGTTTGATTGTGTATGATCTCACTATCTATCTCATTTCTTCTCAGTTCAACGAAGTTAAGAAACCCATTTTTTCAACATACCGACAATTTTTCTTATCTTGTTTTGTCTGTTGCAGAAGTGGCTCAGGGCAAAAACAGCCCGGGATGATACGACCCTTGTTGAAAATCTTGTTGTATAACTTTTTTTTTCTCTACGTAAAATTTTAATGTGTGGTGTTTAGTGACCGTTACTTCATGATTATTTGGAGGTCATGAGATGCGGTTTGGTGTGACGTAGGTTTTAGAAAAACATTTTCTTCATCGTACCAACGTTTCGATCTTTATTGAGATCATCTTCAGAGCCTGGGATTTATAAACAATCTTTAAATGTTACAAATACATATAGGATGTGAAAAAAAATTATACAATGCTAGAAAATTTTAGATTAAAAAAATGAATGTATGCAATGCTAGAACTTTAAATTTTAAAAAATTTAGATTCTAAATGCTAAGATTTTAGATTCAATCTACACGGAAAACAAACATTTTGAGTGAGTACAAACACTTTGATTGAAT